TATTCTCTTCTTCCTCTCTTCTTTTCCTTTATTTTTGTTCCTTTGTTTCCGCTCTTCTTCTGTGATCTCATTTGTAGCCAGGACTTCTTCTACCACCACACTATTAGACTAATTCCCAAATCAGTAACTTGAATCTTAGCCTTCCTCTTGCTTTTCAGACTGCCTGTTAACTGTCTTCTCTTCGACACAATAACTTTAAATTCAACTTTAAATTCAAGTAATGTATCTCCATCGTTGCTGCAAATGCTTATCTACTTCATGTTTTCTCATTCTTGCATCTTCCGCAGAGCAGGGGAAGAAAATATGTAATTTTTTTACAGCTTTTTGTTCTAGGTCATGTTCCTCACACACTGAAACGCCAAGCTCATTTTTGATAAACATAATTGAGTGTGTTTGTGATAAACATGTGAATGCATCAGGAGCAAGGGAAACTTTCCCCATCCCTGCCCAGACTCCTTGCTTACCCTTACACAGCTAAAACGATTGAAAGGCTTTTTGCTCTGATTTCTGGAAGCACAGGTTATGCCCTTCTTCTAGAGATCATGATCAAGTACTCACCACTACTTCCAGTTCCAGTTCCTTCTTCAAATGTGCTTACATTTTTCAACCTCAGTACCTTTGTAGACCTCATTACCTTTCTGTGTGTGTGTGTGTGTGTGTGTGTGTGTGTGTGTGTGTGTGACTTTATGAATATAACCTCAGTGATTCAGTGTCTAAAGGCTTTCTCAGCTCTTACTAGTTAAAATCAGGTACTGCTTCATTGTGCTCCTTCAGTCTTCTCCTCCCATTGCCTCACTTATTACATTGCTTTATCATTATTTTTCTTACTATTGACAGAGCTCAGTCATAAGGAAATTCGCCTTTATACTAAATGCTTAGCTTAGCAGGGCCTTCGTAGTATGTTTTGGTTAGTGATTTTCAATGTCAAATTGCACAGAATGGTTGCTATTGGGTTCCACACTGCCGTGGCCTCTGTGCCTGTGAGCGATGGGCCAATAGCTAAGTGTGAAGTCCTCCCGGGAGTCATGTGATTTACATCCCGAGGAAGCCAGAGGGCGCTGTCTGCGGAAGCTGGGGTCCCTATGCACTGATTGCTTGGTACAATTATGAGGGTGTTTCTGGGTGCATTTTGTACATCTTCTCATCCTCCTTCAATTACTGGATAGTAATTTGAATACCATCATAGTTACATTGTTTTTCACTCTGGTGTGTTACAAATGAACAACACATTTTGTATGCGTTAAAGCCTGCTAAGTAAACTTTTTATCTAGATGGAAATAACCTCAAACTACCAAATACTCCCCTTAAGGAAAGGGCTATAATTAATTTGTTCAAGGGCCACTGGGCACCTACTGCCATATTTTGTCCTAGGAGCTGAGGCAGTAAACTTCCTCTTGAGGAGCTTTGCTCTAGTACAGAAGACCTGAAGAAGACTGCAGGGTGTACAGGCCTGATGTGACTTAGAGATGGGAACTGTTGTACTTAGAGCAGTTGAGAAGGCACATCTGAGTATCTGTCTACTGTGTCAGCATTTATGTTTTCAGATTCAACCATGTAGGCGTCATGCTTTAGATAGTCATTACATACATACAGTTTCTCTTGTGGACACTGTAATAGTGCAATAAGGCATTGAGTACACAGTTTAAGACCTACTCATCTTTTACTATTTTATATATATATATATATATATATATATATATATATATATACGATTTCTCCTCAGCATAGGATTTGCTAATCTGCATTACCTAAAGGCTTGTTGCTTTTTTTCTTTTTTAATTTTTAGATGCTCTCTCTTCTCTACCTTCTAGGGACCCTTTTTTGCCTCTAGTAAGGGACCTTATCTGCCACAGAATCTCTTACAGGATTCTGTAGTTCTCTATTATATTGTTTTTAACACAATGAGATGTCATATGGAAATATTAGATTAAGATACACTTAATCAGACACAGTTAATTATGCATTAAATATGTGTTTATGCTGGTGTTTAGTAGCTTTTGTTTTGTTTTTTCCCCACTTCTAGTGAAAATCAGTTTGTCTTCATTTTGAATGCTGTTTTCTAAAATTTTTTCACAGTGCTTAACTTTGAATGATTCATTTCCCAGTGTGACTTTTCATGTGTTGATTAAACTGCAAGGCTTAGTTAAGGGCTATTCCAGCACATCTAATAAGGTTTCCGACTACTTGCAATAGTTAAGGCTGGTTAAGATGCAAATCATGACTTTTCTTTATTTGTTTGCACATGGCAGTGTAAGGTGAGAATCATGACTGAAACTGGTGTGGTGTTCATTGAAGTGGGAGCTATGTCTACAGGCATTCCCAGATTCATTAAACAACATTTTAAAAACATACACAGCTGTTTCCATGCTTTAGATTGTTGTCCTGGACACCTTTCCTAGCTCCAGTAAGGTCCGTGTGCCACAGAATCCAGGATTCTTTGCTCTCTAGTATCACTTCCCTGTACTCCTCCTTAACACAATATGAGATGTCATAGATGGAAATATTGCTCAGAGGTATATTTACTATAGCCACAGTTAAATTATGCATTATGTGTGTATGCTACTGTTCAGTAGTTTTTTTAAAATTTTTTCCTACTTCTAGAACATATAATTTTTCTTAAAAAATAAAATTACACTACCTCCCTCCTTAAATACCTGAACTCAAGGGCCAGGAACTGCACAAAATGTGCTCATTATCCAGAAGAGGCTCTGTCCCATCTGCCTGCCGTCTTGGCTCTTTTATTATAAGACTGTATCTCAGCCAAGAGAGGTCAGTGACCTGGGCCAGGAAGCACAAACTAAGATTTCCAGCAGGACAGATTACCTTACCTTAAGGAAAAGGCATTAGGAATTGCTGGGGAGTGGTGGGGGTGGAGGAGAGGCCTGAAAACAGTCTCATTAGCCAGCTTGGTCAATGGGCAGGTGCAGGAAGTGGCAGATAAACCCAGCCAAGTTCTATTCATGTACTTTAGTACCACTGCTTTAAACCTGCAAAATAAGCTAGTGAGTTGAAATACTTGGCAGCATGTGAACATGTAGATGTAGATTCTTAGTTGTAGGCTTAACTCATATGATGTGTTCTGTGATTTGTTCATGTCATTTAACTTCTGGGTTTCAGTTTCTCCAGCCGTCAGAGGGGCACAAACCCTGTCTCTCTCAGTTCTCATTCACAGAGTGGTGAGAAACAAAATGAGTTGAGAATGTACTTTGAAAATGCAAGGTTCATACAGAATCAGTAGAAGGTTATTATTATCATCCCTGAGATTTACCTCACAGGAGAGCTAATTTTTAAGACCAGAAGATAGTAGGAAGCATCAGAAAAACATTCTGACAGCAATGTAGACATACCTCTACCAATGGAAGAAAGCTACCTTGTGGGACATTTACTCTAGCTCTCACTCTTTATAATCATAGACAAAGACCTACAGAATCCATCATCTGCCAAGCAGGAATAGCGCCACGCATGAGCAGAAGAGCAGTCCAAGGAATGGCACATGCTACGGCCGCCCGCCTGAGGGGCTTGCTGAGCTGTGAATGTTGATCAGGGTCTGGAAACAAGCTGATGTGAAGCTTAGTAAGGAACTGGGGCAGAGGTGGGGGGATGGACTCCAGTGATCTAGCTCCAGGATGGCCGAGTGCCTCAGAGGAGCAATTTCAGGGTGGCCAGGGACTTGGATAGGACAAATGACAACTTCCTAGAACGGGCTGTTCCAGAGTCCATAGAGAAAAGGAAATAGCCTGGCCTCATCCTGGGTAAACTGACAGGAACCAGGGTAGGAAGTATTTGTAGTGGGAAGGCTAATGCTCATAACATCATTAAGCCCCTGTAGAGCAGAAGGAAACTGGAAAAAATAATTAGTGAGCACACATGGCGAGTCAGTTTTTACACCATGGAAGGGGAGCTGTAAAGAGTAAATAAGCCAGCAGGGGAATCAGTGCTGTGCGGTGGGCGGCCCGGGGGTGTCACACACATAGTCATACAGGTCTGGGTGAATGCCGTCTCTGTCACCAACTTGCTGGATGACCCCTCCACGGTGCCATTTTTCTCCTTTGAATCTTGATTTCCTTCTTTCTAAAATGAAGAGCTGTCTCCCTATCTCCTAAATTGTTGTATTAAATGAAATGTTCTTGAAAGCAACTAACTTAAAATTCCTGGAACATGATGCCCCAAAACATTGGTTTATTCATTTATTTTGAGAAGAGACTCCCAGAAAACCTCTATTGAAATATGCCAGTTGGAAGTTTCAAGCATTGAAAAAGCAAGTTTGATCTAGTTAATGGATACAGGAAAAAAGGCTCATTTGACAAATGAAAACCAACCCCAAAAAATGGTCAGAGAAAGAAAATCTTATGGGAAGAGGGTAGATTAGAGGCAAGGTAATGACGAATAGAAATAGATCCGATTTGCTCGCCAGGGGCTTCGATGCCTTACTGCATTAAGGTGAGGCTCCTGGAGGCCCCTGACAAAGGGGGAAGCTGCGTCACTCTGCTGGACTCATCCATCTCCAGAACTGTTAAACATTACGCCCCATTATACCAGCACCCCTCCGTCTCCTCTCCTCTTACGAGTATGAAGAGGAAACCATTACCAGAAATTTCCTTAAAAACCTAAAAATCCAAGGATAGGAAAATGCTGTAAAATTAGAACAAAATAAAGGACTAGAAACTTAAGAAGACCACGTGTCAGATTAGTCTGGTCTTTACCCAGAGCAACATGAGGAAATTTCCACTTCTAGACTTGAAAAAAATGAAATGCTGGGGATGAGAACATAAAATCACCAAAGCTGAGAGCAAAAGAACACTGTGGATTATTTTATAGGTGGATAAATTGAGACTCAAAGAGAGGGGATTGGCTGCTGTCTTAATGGTGTCCACAGCAGACAGTGTTAGATGTCAAGTCCTTGACCCTATTCTGCGATCTAGTGTGCGGTAGCTTCTTTTTGTGAGAGTTAATTTTTGACTTCAAATTGAATTTGTTTTTGTGTGTTTTCCTTTCTGCAGGGCCAAGTGCTTTCGGGGCAAAAAAGTCCTTGGAGATTATGATATCAAGGTAGAACAGGTAAGATCTGTCTGCATCATTACCATTATCTCAGGTTCCTGACTGGAAGCCTCAGTTCTGCCTAATACAACAGTGGTTGTACTGGATTCTGGGTGTTGTCTCTTTGCTTTTCCTAGAGCTTTTTTTCCCTGTGAGGTATAATTTTGAAGTGTCTTTGACTCCTCCATACCCCCGCTTACCCCCTCAAGTTTGAACTTGAGGCTTCATACTAGCTAGGCAGGTGCTGTACTACTTGAGTTGTGCCGCTAGTCCTCTTGATTTTTTTATTTTACAGTTTTGGTGTTGGTATAAAGGAAAGTAATGTGACTCTTGTGGGCCTCTTACAGCAACAAATCCCCTGGCTGAAAAAAACCTCGGAGGACTGTATTTTTAGGACACTGTTCACATCTCTTGATTTCTGAGTAGTCATCTGTCTGCTCATAAACGGAATCTTTTCTTTTTCTTTAGCCAGTCCTGGGGCTTGAACTCAGGGCCTGGGCACTGTCCCTGAGCTTCTTTTGCTCAAAGCTAGCACTCTACCACTTGATCCACAGCGCCACTTCTAGCCTTTTCTTTTTATGCAGTACTGAGAAATTGAACCCAGGGCTTCATGCATACTAGGTAAGCACTCTACCACTAAACCGCACTCCCGGCCCCCTACAGTAAACGCTTGAAGGGCCCATTTTTTTACCTGGCTCTGTCCCTTGCCTTGTTTTATGATAAGAGGAGCATGGGCCCACTTGGTTGAAATGGGGGATCCGATTTACATAATGTCTGTATTGTCTGTAATAGAAGTTGTTCCTCATTCATTACATAATGTCTGTATTGTGTGTAATAGAAGTTATTCCTCATTCATTACACAGTGTATTATGATTTACAGAATACTCTATCCATTTTAAATTGTTACATACAGAAAATGGATAGAAATGATCCCATTCAGGAAATTGAGATCCAAGCAGGACAAGTAATTCACTTAACAGGGGCTATTCAGGGGCAGAACAGTAGTAAAACCTACTTATTTAACCTAAAATCTAGTGCTTAAGAATTGAAATGGAGAAAGGGGGTGTTTAGCCTGGTTCACATCTCACTCTATAGAGAAGTGGCACTAAACATGCTGAGCTAGGAGTTAGAAGACCCAAGTTTGCGCTTGCCTCTAACAATGCTAAGTTTTGTTTGTCTAGAAAAGTTTAACGGAGGCAGTTTCCTCCTTAGGTAAATATGGATAATCTCTCCCACCTGTCTTGTAGGATTGCTGTGATTATTATGAAATCAGTGTGTGAAAATGCTTTGAAAACGAAATAAATGTTTGGTAGTGGGGGTGTCTCTGAAGAACTTGGCAAAGCTGGGACTTTGGAATCACTACCCTGCTGTTATTTTCCAGGCGGAGTTTTCAGAGCTCAACCTGGTAGCCCACGCCGATGGAACCTATGCTGTGGATATGCAGGTGCTCCGGAATGGCACAAAAGTTATCCGGTAAGAGCAGAGCTATCCTGGGGGCCACTGAGTCTGTCGCTAGCTCTGGCTTGAAGAGATAGCTTTCAAGTTGAGTATTACAATATGATGGCACTAGCGTGCAGGATGTACAGAACGTAATAATATTTCTTGCATGGAAGTGGTAGATAAGGAAGCCTTCTACCTTCCATGAATTCTTGGTCCAAGGGTCACGAGCACGCTTAGAGGTCACAGGATTCCTACTAGGACTCCTGTCTCCTCACTCCTAGTCAGTGCTGCTCTGTGCTTTTACCTCTCTATGCAATTCCCCAGGAACCTGAGATTCCATTGTTCGTTTGTTACTTGTTTTGCTGTACTGGCCTTGGAACTCGAGGACTGGATGCCGGACTTAGCTTTTTTTGCTCAAGGCTGGCATTCTACCACTTAAGCTATAGCTCCATTTCCAACTTTTTTGGTAGTTCACTGGAGGTGAGAGTTGTGGACTTTCCTGCCTGGGCCTACTTCAGTCTGAAATGCTCAGATCTCAGGCTCCTGAGCAGTTAGGCTACTCAGGCTCAAGCCTATAATTACCTGGTGATTCTATTGCTTTTTTTCCCCCACCAGTCCTGGGGCTTGGACTCAGGGTCTGGGTACTATCCCTGAGCTTCTTTTGCTCAAGGCTAGCACGCTACCACTTGACCCACAGTGCCACCTCTGGCTTTTTCTGTTTGTGTGATACTGAGGAATGGAACCCAGGGCTTCATGCATGCTAGGCAAGCACTCTACCACTGAGCCACATTCCTAGCTCTCTATTGCTTTTTAAAAAGTTTTCAAACATCTGATCTAATTCAGCCTTTTCTTTTATGTTGGTTTGCTTAGACTCACTCAGTAAATAGGTGGGAAGTTTTGTGCTTTGCGTGAGTACAGGACTCTTGGCCTTGTGCTCTTTCTATGTTACTCATTCCTAGGAACTCATATGTCTGATAGGAAAACCTAGGATTAGAATAGACATTGTGAATGGAAGAAAATAGAAATTACTAAACCCTTCCATTTCAGGTGGGCATCTTATAGATTGGGATGTTGTCTACCCAACAATTCTTTGAGGAAAGTAATGAGAATTCCAGATGGCAGGAAATGGTTTCTAAAGTGATATCCCCCCAGGAGGTCAATGTAGCTTCAGGTTTTCAGAAATCACACTTACTCTAGGAGTCTCTCCCTCCACTTCAGCCTTCAGTTTTCTGACTCCCAGGCTTCCAGGGTCCAACAGGATCTGGGTCAGTCACAAAGGCTGTACTAGGAGGGGGTAATGTCTAGAACTGAAAGACAGGAAGTATGAGCTTTTCTCTTTTGAAGTAAAGACAAAAAAATGCCCAAGTATAAAGTGAGCTCAGATAGATGCTACAGCTAAAGATGGACAGCTTTCTTCAACTGGAGCTAGAGTGTTATGGACATACAAACACATATGAAGCAGGGGGAGACAGAAAGATCCAGTAGCAGGGTGCCAAGAAGAATCTGGCAAAAGTAAGGCTAGCCTTTTTAGATGCCAGTATAGGAATTCAGGGTCCACCACCAGTCTAGAGTTCCATTCTTCTAACTGGTGAATAGGCTGAAGTTTGATCTCTAGCATGTGTCTGAAGTTTTCCAGTGCCCCAAAGGATCTGGGTCAGTGACAGGAAAAGCTTGACTGAGGGTATCTGGGAACTAAACACAGGTCCCAGAACTAGATTCAGAGCAACCCAAATAGACATCATGCTGACTTGATGCTAAGTCCCTGAAAGACATTTCCTTCAGCCACAGGTATTGAAGCCTGATCTCTGAGCCTGGGTTGGACTGGGTTTGTAGGTGGGAGCTGGCTGGTTGCCTGGGCAGAGGACCAGGAAGATCATTGCACATGGTGTGAAATTTCTGAGCCTTAGAACCTTGGGGGGCAGATACTGCCACAGACTGCCTCTGGGAAGATCTCTGAAACAAAAGCACAAAGACAAGAACCCCGGAACTGCAGCACAGTTATGACTAGGAAGCTCACTGGCTAGGGGTGAAATGTGGAGAGCATTCCCATGCGTGGGAACATTCTGTATTCTCAGTGCTTCCTGCAGCCATTGCTCAACCTCAGCTCTGTGAAAAATAGTTCTATCCCTCCCTAGTGCCCGCTTTGGAAGAATAACATTGGAAACTTTGGCATGCTGGCCAGCCTGACTCCTTGCTCTCTGGGGCATGATAAGGATGTTGCCTATGCTCAGGAGTAGATTTGAAGAGTTAAAGCAAAATGCTATAAGACCTGAGACCTGGCAGTAGCATGGTGAAGGCAGCCTTGGATGTGTCTTCAGTCTTCCAGGCGCTGTTATAAACAGCACCTGTGCAGCCACAGAAAGCTTCATATTATCCATGACGACAAGGAAAAAGCTTTCCCTTTAGGTGTGAGGTCTTTAAAGGTTTCTTCAGACCTGCAGTATTTCTCCCTTAGAATAAAGGGTAGTACTTAGCCCAAGGAATGAGAATTTCAGGAATCTCTTCACAGATCTCTTTTGGAAATTACCAGAACACTTTCTTAGTCCAGAAAGGAATAATAATAATAATACAATGAGGTCAGGTACTAGGCTCCTTATACCTCTCCCCCCTTGGGTTTGGAAGTGATGATGTATGACCTTTGGTGCTGGATAATGGAAAACCTTCCTCTGCATTCTTTATCAGGTCCTTCCGGCCAGACTTTGTCCTCATCCGGCAGCATGCATTTGGCATGGCAGAGAATGAGGACTTCCGCCACCTGATCATCGGCATGCAGTATGCAGGCCTCCCCAGCATCAACTCCTTGGAGTCCATTTACAACTTCTGCGACAAGCCATGGGTGGTGAGTGAGGCAACCTTTCCCCTCCTCCCAGGAGAGGCGCCGGTGTTCCCCGTGCACGGCTGAGGAGGTGGGAGAAGAGCCTCTCAGGGACATTGGGGTAGAGCAGGTTACTTCAGCAGCATGGTACTGGCTGTCATGAGCTGGACGCCTTTGCTACATAGTGGACCTGTGGCCTTTCGCCCAAGTCAAAGATTCTGGGAAGAAGTCCTTTCAGGTCTGTAGGGTCTGCTTTTGATTATTGGAAAGGCCTGAGCTCAGCAGGCCAAGTCCAGCATAGTGCACAAAACCCATCAGTGTTGTAATAACCGTAAAGTGATATTTATGTGAATCACACACTCAGATGAGCTTGAGGTTTTTTTTTTTTTTTTTTGCTGGTCTTGGAGCTTGAACTCTGGGCCAGGGTGTTGTCTCCAAGCTTCTTTTGCTCAAGGCTAGCACTCTACCACTTGAGTCACAGCTCCATTGGGCTTTTTCTGAGCAGTTTATTGGAGATAAGAGTCTCATGGACTTTCTTGCCCGGGCTGGCTTCAAACCACAATCCTCAGATCTCAGCTTCCTGAGTGAGCCACTGGTGCCAAGCTTGGAGGTACCTTTTGCGATGATCAAATCTCACCTCTTGAGAGTAAATATGTAAACTGAAAAAGGAAAGTAAGGAGTATAAAACTACTTACTAGATGGTGCCAACCTCTGAAGTTTTCTATGTCAATTTCATGTAATCTACACTAAAACCTTGCAAGGATAGTATTATTATCACTATTTTTACTTTGTACAGAGAAATAAGAACCCAAAATTTAATAACTTGCCAAAGTTATAAAGCCAGGATTTTTCTTTTCTTTTTTTTGGGGGGGTCCGGTTGTGGGGCCTGAACTCTGGGCCTGGGCGCTGTCCCTCAGCTCTTCAGCTCAAGGCTAGCGCTCTACCACTTGAGCCACAGCGCCACTTCTGGCTTTTTTCTTTTTGCTTATGTGGTGCTGAGGAATCGAACCCAGGGCCTCAGGCATGCAAGGCAAGCGCTCTACCACTGAGCCACCTTCCAAGCCCAAGCCAGGATTTTTCTAGATCACCTTGTCTTTCACATAGATGGGGCCATTATGTGAAGAAGACTTGGACTAGTTATCTCTTTGTTAGCCAGGACAGCAATGTGGGCTAGCAGGTGTCTTGTGGGAAGAGAAAGAATGAAAGAGACTAGGCTGGAGGAATGACCTGTAGTGGCTTCTGAGACACCGTGGCCTCCTCTTGTGCTCTTGTGAGACACCGTGGCCTCCTCTTGGGCCCTTCTGAGACACTGTGGGCTCCTCTCCTGCTCTTCTGCCAGCTCCAGGCTGGCCCTCTCAGAAGGAAACTCCTGCCCCTAATCACATCCTCTCACTTCCTTGTTTTTCAGTTTTTAACTATTACACACACTGCACTGCCAAGTGTCCCAGGGCTTACTGTGGTTTCTGCATCCCCTCCACCACTTAGGGAGATGGAGAGGCTATTTCTTTAACCAAACAGATCTGCCTTTCACCTCTGTTCTCCATCTTACTTTCACACCTAAACACCTCTGCTATTGACTTTTTTTTTCCCACCTGAACTGACAACTCTGCTGTTCTCTGGACACCATAGAAACCTTGAAGAGTGACGAACAGTGAGCTAGGAGTAAGTTCTGAGAGCAATGAGTGGTGGTGGTTAAGAAGGGGATGGTTGTGTCTCCAAACCCCACTTGTTCAGCTGTTTGCTGTGTGTAGCCTGCAGCTCCAGGGAGCCTCGTTCTAATCAAATAGCTAGAAAGGGTGCTGTGATCGAGTGTGCTGCCAATCCCAGAAGAGCATATGGAGCTCTTTCCTAGGTCTCCCCTTTCTCCCCAATCATATCGCCTTCCTCTTACTTGTTTGCAGGAGGAATACTTGCTAGAATTTGGCTCCCTCTTAGGCACATAGGGTGATGCTGCTATCATGAACTTTTTCTGGGTGATTTTACTACTAAACCTCTGTGCCTTGGATCTTTGTCTACTAATCTGGATTGGTAGTACCTGCCACCCATTTACCAGCCTGATGCTTGTAGTCTCCTGCTGTCTGAGACCTCTTAAAGAAGCTCATTCTGTGGTTTCTTTTCCTAAACTGTGGTACAGGCCAGGGAAGGGAGGGCAAGGGGAGCCTGTGCCTAGGGCTTTATCCCTCCTGGGATCTGGTGAGGGGTCACACTCTCACCCATTCACAAGCCCAGAACATTGCCTTTGGCATCTCATGAGATCGGTGAGGTTCTTGGCCACACACCAAGTTCTCCCTTGAACTTCACTGAGCAGCTGCTATGCAAATGATATTCCACATGTTGTTCTCTACTCGAATGGAAATGGACAGATTTGGTAACTTCAAGGGGAGAAGGGTCCTTCTGAGAGAATGACTTTGGTTCATGTTTCTACATTTTCCTACTGTGACTGCTTACTATGAGAAGCCTCTGGTGGTTTGGAAAAGGCTCTTCCTTGTACTAGCATGCCTAGGACGAGGCATTGGCTGGGGCAGGCTAATAGATTTCACTGCCTTGTTAGTAAAAGCAGCATTCCAGAGAAAATAAGAATGCTTCCACCCCTCAATGCTATAAATTCATCTGAATTCCTGCCACTCTTTTAGAGATGGATAAACTAGGGTAAAATTAAAACATTTGACCATCAGAAGAGGTGAGGATAACATATATTTAAACAGATCTTAAAATCTTATTTCTTCCATGAATTCTCTCTCTTCTCTCCTCTCTCCTCTCTCCCCCAACCCTCTCTCTCTGTCAGCTCTTCAGCTGACAGAGTGTCAGCTCAAGGCTGGCACTCTACCACTTGAGCCACAGTGCTACTTCTGGTTTTCTGATGGTTTATCAGAGATGAGAGTCTTGCGGACTTTCTTTCCCAGGCTGGCTTTGAACCGTGATCCTCAGATCTCAGCCTCCTGAGTAGCTGGGATTATAGGTGTGAGCCACCAGTGCCCAGCTAAGGTTGTGTGTATGCAGTTGCCTGCTTTTTTTTTTTAAATAGCTTTTTATTTTCCTCCCAGAACAGAAGATTGAACTCAGGGCCTTGCACTTACCAGGCAAGCGCTCTTCCACTGAGATAAATCCCCAACCCCATGAATTCTTCTTTAATTCAATGGATAAGTGTTTATATGAACATATTTCCTTGTTCATTGACTCAGATCCCAAACTAATTCTTTGGTCTGTGAGTGGAGAAAATAATCCTTATCAGATATTACATTTATTTAATTGGTAACTGTGTACCTGTAATCCAAGTTTCCAGGGAGGGAGAGGTTAGATGCCAAGCCCAGTACCTTAAGCAGAAATGGACTGCTGGCAATCAGGTGAGGAGGGTGGAGTAGGCTCTCTGGGACCCAACTGAAGTGTGGGAACTGGCTGTCATCTTAGCCTTGGCTGTCCCTGGGCTCTGAGAGTCTGCCGGGGGCCTTCCTGGCATCGGCATGGTGTCTGTGTAACTCACCCACATGTGGGGAAGATAAAGTCCCACATGCCTTGGTGCTGTGCCAGAGCGTGGGCTACAGCAGGACAGAGGTCATGAGGCAGAGCTGGCATCAGCGCTCAGGGGAGGCTGGAGGGCCGGGCAGAGCAGAGTCTTTCCACTCTTAGGTGGGCATCACATCTTAAAGGTTAGATGGGGCTGTGGGGAGAATGAGAGAAAACAGGGAAGTTCCAAGGGGTGGTCTTGACTGTGGAACCAAAGCACGGTGAAGACAGCAGGACACAATGGAGGCTGCTTTTCTATACAGCCCCAGCTGAGCCAGGAGCCTACCATTCCCTCTACTTCTGTAACTGGGGGTGGGGTGGGAGGGGGCGCGAGGGAGGCAGGTGTGGTGTGGAGATCATCTGAAGTCTCTTCCATCCATGAAATCGTAGAGGCTTGAGAACTCAGGAATCACACTTTCAGTCCCAGAGGAGGCCTTAAGTCTAGTCACACTAGAGGGTGCGACTCAGGAATTTCAGAAGTTTTGAACCAGGTTGGAAATAACAAAATCCTATCTCTTTCCACAAAAGAACCACAGCAAATGACTGCTTGAAGTTCAGTTTGATGAAGCTTAGGAGGAAATGGAATAAAAGTATATTCTTTGGAGTACAAAATTTGAGGAACTGAAATTGAGCCTTGTTTATTTTCTTTTTTATGAAGAAAATGTAGCTTGGAAAGGAGAAATCTTTTGCTAAGGACATCTTTCAAGTTAGGAGGAAGAACAGGAACTGGAAGACTCCCCTTTCTTAACATCCCAGCTCTGAGCTTTCTCCACTCCTACTCATGCCCTGCCTGGCCCACCTGCCAACAATCCTTACAGAGAGTAGGACAGAAGTGTTTGTAAAATGTTCTAGCTTTCCTTTCTCTGATAAGTAGAGCTGTGACAACTTTCCCTTCTAGTAGTTCCAGCTGTTGGTGTCATGGAGGGTGAACAGATCTAATCGCTCTAGGGAGAAGATGCTAGTATCGTCTTGTTGCCCGGACACTGGGGATGGTGGCATGAGATACGTGGGTAGTGTGCACGGCCCTTTTCCTGTGGGAAGAACGTGGCCTGTGGAACTGACAAGCAGCTATTGGAGCAGTTGGAGTGACTCAGAAGGGACCTGCCTATGAAGCTAGTTCAAGGACTGTGTCACATTGGGCAGTTGTCCCTTTGGTTCTGCAGTTATAAAGTACCATGGAGTGTTGGATGTACACCAGTAGCCCCCAACCCTAACACTGTACGTATGTATGCTTTACCTATGCTCCTTGAAGCTGTACCTCTTTCTCATAGGTAAAGGGTCTAGCCAGTTGTTGTTGTTGTTTGGTCTGGTCGTGGGGCCTGAACTCTGGGCCTGGGCTCTGTCCCTCAGCTCTTCAGCTCAAGGCTAGCGCTCTACCACTTGAGCCACAGCGCCACTTCCAGCTTTTTTCTTTTTGCTTATGTGGTGCTGAGGAATCGAACCCAGGGTCTCATGCATGCAAGGCAAGCGCTCTACCACTGAGCCACCTTCCCAGCCCCTCTAGTCAGTTCTTTGGATGAATGAATCAGATCCCCAAAGGTGGGTCTGCCTTCCATGTACTCTATAACAGTTTACTCATGATGCACCCTGCTCACACTCTGGTGACTGCAGCTCACAGGGAAGCGGCTGTTTCTTTGCCTGGCATTGAGCTTTCAACACTTGCCCCATGTTACCTCTTTAGCTTTGTCTCACGCCACTGTTTACAGTAGCAGCTATTTAGGGTTTGAACCCTGAGTTTACTCTTACTTTTTTCTTTTTGAGTCACTAGTTCCAATCTTAGTCTTACCTCTTCTCATTTCTGTGATTTTAGTTAGGTTTACTACCCTCTCTGAGCCTCATCCATAAAATGAACATGATAGTGCACCTAGTTCATCAATTTGATATGAAGATTTAATGAGAAACAACTAAAATTAAGTAGGTAATCAAAGAATGTTAAGACATGTTACTTGTGAGAGGAGGAGAGGAGAGTGAAATTAAAAAAAAAGAAAGGGATGGAGGGAAGGAGGAAAAGAGGGAGGAAAAAATGGTTTTACTGTGTAACCTGTGCTAGCTTCAGATTTACAGACATCCTGGCTCAGCATCCGAGCACAAGGTTCAGGTGTGAACTACAGTGCTTGCCTTCTATACTTGTCAAATATCTTCAACATACTTGATCTCTACAGAGCAAATGCTCAATAATTGATGAACTGATTCTTTGTCTTTCTGTTCCAGAAGTTGTCTTAGAGAAGCCAAAAATGCTTTCTTCTCTTTTGCAGTTTGCCCAGATGGTGGCCATCTACAAAACATTGGGAGGAGAGAAGTTCCCACTCATTGAGCAGACATACTACCCCAACCACAAAGAGATGGTAGGTATCTGAGTGAGTACCTGCGTCTCTGCTCCTCACCCTCTGAGCCTACCTGCACAGGAACTCAGAGGCCCAGCCTATTGGGGTATCATTGTAGGGCTAGAAAATCTCAGTTTTCACTAAAGTCTCTTGGTTTTGTATTCTGGAGATAAAATTGGAAACAGCAGAAACAAGGGCAGTTTACTCAGTCTGAGAGTAGCAAACCTGTGGATCAACAGTCAGAAGATCTCATTACTTTGGGTTTACCTGCAGCCGTGCTGTGTGTCATTGGACAAGTGACATTCTTCCTGTGCTGTGTGTCAATTTCTCAAGCAGACAGTCCGGTGGACATAACTGTCCTTCACCAGGGTATCTAATATGGTATGCACAAAATTGAAGTAAAAACCTTCTAGGAATGAGTATCACACCTGAGATACAAGTTATTTCTCCTGTTGTTACTTCCAGACCTCTCCTCCCTTGTCTAACCTTCACACAGTGATATTGCTGGAATAACACTGCTCTCCAAGTCCCTGAAGGAGATCAGGAGACAAAGAGATAGGATGGTTGTTGTTGAGGAGATCATTGCTAATGTTTTTTTCTGCCAGAGCAACCTGGGGCTCAAGTTTTCATCTTTCCAATCTCTATCCTCTCTGCCCAAGGCTGGTGTGACCCTGCTTAGCCCGCCAGGGACAGCTCCCTGATAAAGCCTGCCAAGTGTTGTGCTCTGGGATGGTGAGCATGTTTGTTCCCCTCCATTTTTAGCATTTTTGTGTATCCAGAGCCTCCTTCTGGCACCTTGTACATGGTCCTGCTGAATAGAAGATGACAACTGAGAAGGAAAGGAAGAAAGAAAGAAAGAAAGAAAGACAATTTCCATTATGTTTGCCAGAACTTCCCCAGAAAGAGGCTTTGGGATTTTAAGCCTTTGTCCTTTATGAATCGTGGGTGTCAGCACTATGGCTTTCCATCTAGGGTGAGCCAAAAAGGCATGCAGAGGCTGAGGAGCCCTCACATCTGTCTGAGCTTTCAGACAGCCCAAGACACGGTGGTGAGGAGACTGAGCTGAAAGGTGGGAGGGTCTCCACGCGGCAGGGTCAGAGCTGGCCTTTTTCTCCTCTAATACCTTGCAGATCTGATCACCAAAAAATAGCAACAAGTACAAGGTGGACTCCTCCTCTAGCACCTTTTCCCTCTAGGGGAAAAGATGTTGTTTCTTTCTTGTCCTCTATCCTCAAGAGAAGAGGTGTTCAAAGTGGATGCATGGGGGATGTCAGCTCTACAAGATAAATGCTTCTTTAGTTTGAAAAAAAAAAGGTGAAGTAGGAATTAAGACATTACTAACCTAAAAGAGGCAGCAGAAAAACCATGTGGACATCATTTGAGGGCATTAGAGGCTTTTCAACCTGAAGTGAAAAACGTCTGTTCTTAGATAGTAAGTCTACTTTTGTTCAAAGAAGGGTGCTAATTGGGCTGGGCCTGCCAGGTGTAGAGTCGGGTTCGCAGCCCAGGGAGTGGAGTTAGACTGTCTGAATCCTCTTAGCCACTCTACCAAGCAGATAAAAATGTATTAGAGTACTAAGATGAGTTGAAGGGGTGGGAGTAAAGGATACACAGGCATAGTATATTGTTCATTTCATTTCTGCCAACTGCCTCTGCTAGCATACATCCCAAGGCTGTTCATCTCAAGGGTGTCTTAGGCCCCATTTCTCCCCTACTGTATCAGTTAAGAAAAAGAAAACCACGTTTTCCTGAAGAGAAAAGAGACTAGCTCTGGCTTTGAAAGGTAAACTAGGCCAGAATTAAACTTGCAGTACTAAGATAGCCAGTGGGGCGTGGGATATGAGGAAAAGGTCTGAGGACAAGTCAGAAAAGCATGCTACCTTCCTCAGCCCCCAGGCTGCGGGCTGGAGGCTTAGACACAAGCTGTAACATGGTCCATCCCTGCCATGATGCTGGTCTGGCCGTCCGCTTGTTACTTTCTGTTGGTTAGCAGCAACAGAGCAGGTGGTGATGGTCAGAGCGCCACAGGGGAAAAGAGAACGGTTTTGGTCTTCAGGACTCTTGAAGGGTTGAGGCAGTCACTATTTCCTACTAGGGCTGGATGATGTCAACAAGCTCCTTCCTGAGATGCAGGTGGCCCGGGTACCAACGGCAGGTGCCATCAACATGTTTCATGCAGATGTAATGCTGGGCCTGGTACCCATAGAGCTTCCGTTCCAACAGCCAGTCTGTCCAGAGGCAGTCATTGGAGGCCGGGATGGTACAGGGCACTGAATAGCACGTGGTGATCTAGTCATGAACAGCACATCATCAAAGTGAGTAGAAGGCGCTGCCTCTCATATATCGCTGCCTCCCGTATATCCTCATGGACCATGTCAACTGCCCTTGTCTAGGAACCCTTTTCTAGTCCCCAAACTGACCTCTGAATTCTCCCCCATGCTCCCTATGAATACTATCACTATATAAGTCATCTCTGGGATCAGCCCTACGTGGCTGACCTTGAGCAAGTAGTTTCTCTTCCCAGAGCATTCTTTTCTTTATCTTAAATGGAAATAATAATTCTTCACAAATTTCTTGTAGAGACTAAATTGAAATTTTACAATAAATTGACTGTCACAGAGCCTGCAGAGTGTAGTCTTAGTCTCCCTCTCCCTCTGTTGATTTTTCTTTTTTCTTCTTCTTCTTTTTATTTTTTTTGCCGGTTGTGGGGCCTGAACTCTGGGCCTGGGTGCTGTCCCTCAGCTCTTCAGCTCATGGCTAGGGCTCTGCTTATGTGGTGCTGAGGAATCGAACCCAGGGCCTCATGCATTGGAGTCGAGCACTCTACCACTGAGCCACCTTCCCAGCCCTGTTGATTTTTCTTGTGCGTTGTTGTTACTATTATTGTTGGGACTAATGCATTAATTTTGTTTAAGTCAGAATTACATTATTGTTGTTGTTTGAGTCAGGGTCTCACTGTGTCACCTAGATTGGCCTTAAACTTGTGATTCTCCCACCTCATCCTCCTCAGTGGTGGGATTGCAGGTGTGTTCCACCAAGCCCAGCTTAGACTCTATTTAAATGGTGGCTATGTTAGTGTCATCTCGTCTGCTTTATATGGTGGCTGCATTCTCAGCTAAAACAGAAGTATTTTGAGATTGGGGACTATGGAGTCCGTTGCTTTCCCAGCCCAGCGTCTATGTCACATGTCAAATACAGCATAGTAAGTCATACTTATACATTTGAGTGAAAAAAGACACGAAGGATGAGGTTACAAGGCCCAAGACCTTTCTCCTGCCCCCCAAAAGACCTTGGAAATGACATTCCCTTACTTGGCAGCCACAGTTCAGAAGATAGTGATGATTCAGACTTTCCCTCTGCACCAAGGACAGGTCCTCCCAGGGCTCAATGTAATTGCACAGATGGATGAAGACTTTTCCATCACCACGGACCTGGCCTTTGTGGGAAGACAGAAGAATCTGTTCTTAGAGCTCGAGTCACTACAAAGCCCCAAACGGCTGCCACTTGATTGCCTGTGTACTTTTTGACTTTTGCTTTTGTCCTGGGCATTGAACCTGGGCCTCACTCACGCTAAGCATATATTCTGCCACAAGTCTACTCCAGCCCCCCCAAAGCCTTTTTAGTGGCAGTGGGGAAATGGGGCTCAATGAAGGGACAGAAAAACCAATGACTTTTTATAGCAAGGAGACCAATACATTCTGTTTGTAAAAGGTAGAATTGTGGGATCCTTTTCTTTTACTATGGTGAGGAGGAAGTGGGATTAAAATCAGACTGGAGGGTCAGGGTTGTAGCTGTCATAGAGTGCTTGCTTAGGATGCATGAGGCCTCATCTTGATACCCAGCATTGCAAAAGGAGGGAGGGAGGGGAGGAGGGGGTGAGAGAGAGAAGAGAGGAGAGACAGGGAAAGAGAGAGGAGAAGGCAGAAAGAGAGAGACTAACTTTGAGTGGGACTCCCTTTTTTTTTTAATCATTTCTAGCTGTGTTACCTTAAAGAAAGTCACATAACCTCTGAGCCTCAGGGGTAGGAATAATAATATTGTTGTCAAGAGGAGGTGAGAGAATGTCTATAGAGCTCCCTGTACTGTTGTAGGCTAAAAGAAGATGTTAAAAACAGGTTCCCTTCCCTTTTCCAGTCTTTCCCAGTACCTAACCTACTAGTCTCCTGTCCTATGGATGCTTACCTTGGTGAATCTTGCCCTCTAGGAAAGTTCTCCTGCTTTAGCAATCAAGCTCCTCCAATCTTTGCCTGCCTGCCCTTTCCCTCTCTCCCTCCTTCCCTCCTTCCTTCCTTCCTTTCCTCCCTCCTTCCCTCCCTCCTTCCTTCCCTCTTTCCTTCCTTCCTTCCCTCCCTCCCTTCCCTCCTTTCTTCCTCCTTCCTTACCTTTCCTCCTTCCCTCCTTTCTTCCTTCCTTCCTCCCTCCTTCCATAGTGAAACTTCCCTGATTGTTCACAACCCTACAAATAACTCTTTTCCCCGAGTTCCAATATCTCGCAGTGTTATATTCATTCATTCACCGAGTTATATTCTTGTGTGTCGCTTTAACGTTCTATCCCAAACAATTTAGTGTGGAAGAAGCTTGCCTGGGCCCAAGTTCATGGAGAATTGTGGTAGACTCAAGTCTCACATTAGGGCATGTGCAAATGGTAGAGTTGTAAACACAAAAGAAGCAACTTCAGAGAGCAGATTTTGACTTAAGTGCCAAAAATCTTACACCAATTAAAACCGTTTCCTGTTGAAACTAGCCACCCTAGACTTATTCTTAATATAGTGACTAAGTGGCAAGATTACTCTAATAGACTCATGAACTGATGGAGCTTGTTAGTTGATTAAAGTCACAGCTCTGTTTTATGTCTAAGAAAATGCCACTGGACTCAACCTGCTACTCAAAGAAGCCCCTGGCTTCTGTCTCACTAACTTTCTTAGGACAGACTCTCAGGCAATTTCTGCCTAACACTTACCAGTCAGCAGGTACTGCTTTTGGCTGTTGGCTTCTAGTTTCACTCCACAGAGTGAGGAGTCAAATGGTGTATAGATATATTGAACATCCTTGACTTTCTCAAACCCTTTAAACATCTGAAAGGCAATTACAAAGAGAAATACCAGGTCAATGAGCACAAATGTGTATTAACAGACAAAAGTGTCTCATTTCTTGGTCTGAAAAATGAGGCAGAATGCTAGTTGGCATACCGATGGTAAACAGATGGCTCTACCAAGTTGTATCTGTCTTTAAAAAATGGCTAAACCTCGATTGATTTCATTGAGAGGGAGGTACCTAGTGATCCTGTGTGCAAACAGATGCAGGGCCATGTGGACATGAAGGCCCACCTGTCTTGTCCTGTCGTGTTGTGCCATTTGGATTCTATAGGCCTGCCCCCAACCAGAGGAGCACTGAGCTGGAGTGCCTGTCACTTACAGACCCACCCTGCTTAGCGCACAGCCTCTCCTCCCATCAGCCCCCGGGTCATGGACCTGTCCTGCCCCCACGTACCTTTATCTGTTTGATTTCATACCGCACCATCTTTTCACTGTCAGCAGGGTTTGCACTGGCAGGAACTACCTTCTCACTGGAGATTTTGGCCCGAATCACTGCATGGAAAGAGAAAAGAGGGAGCCTTCAGCCCTTGTGGGGGTGATGACCCTGAGATAGGGATGATGTGGGGGTTCTGGGGGTTCCTGGTTGAGGCATTACTGGGTTGAGAGCAGGGGGCTGGAAACTTCTGCTCTCCAGTTGTTCCGGGTTCCAAATCCCTCAGGGTTGTTAGATCCTCAACCTCAGTGCTTTTTTTTTTTTTTTTTTGGCCATTGTAATCCATGAGTTTGGAAAGATCTGGCTCTCCATAGTCCTGGGTGTAGTAATCAAGAGGATAGAGCCAGGGTAGAAGGGGTGAGGATCGTCTGCTTGGGTAGCTCAGAGCGTACCCCAAATTGTGTTAATATGTTAATTGAATTAAAAAACACCCTGATCCTACACTGAGGAAGTTCAGTTCTTGCCACTTGGGCATTATTCAAAACTAGGAGTCTTTGCTTCCATTTTTTTTCTTTGCATGGGGAGCAGTAAATGTTTCTCCATTTTTTCATTTTTCCTGTTATACTAAAATAAGTCATTGCTAAAACATAAAAATTATGTATGAAAGATTTTTTTTCTGTGTCTGGCTTTATACTACCACAGGACCTCCCAAGTGTGATTAAGACAGGGTTCCCATCCTGCAGAATTCTTGGTCTAGAGGAGGACTTACATGTAAAGAACAATAGCATACAAGAAAAAAAAGAACAATAGCACAGCAGAGTAGGAGCACAAAGATTAGAGATACTGTGGTAACACCAAGGAGTCAAGAAGCTTTCAGAGAAACAGAGACCTGAGCAGGCATTAGAAGTTGAATAGTAGCTCACCAGAAATTTAACGATAAGAAGGCAGAGAACGGAAAGGCAAAACGTGTGTGTTGAAATGCATCCTGGTTGGCAACCTCAGTTATAGGCCTGGACAGAGACAGGTATTACAATGCAGGGCTGGGAATGTGGCTTAGTGGTAGAGTGCTTGCCTAGCATGCATGAAGCCCTGGGTTCCATTCCTCAGTACAACATACACAGAAAAGGCCAGAAGTGGTGCTGTGGCTCGAATAGTCAAGTGTTAGCCTTAAGCACAGAGAGGCTCAGGGACAGTGCCCAGGCCCTGAGTTCCAGCCCCAGGATTGGCAAAAACAAAACAAAAAAACTACAGTGCAATAACACATATACACACAAAATACCCCTCTCCCTCACAGGCTCGCGCACACACACATGTGCACGCACACACACATACATATTCAATATTTCAGTCATTCTGAGCAGTAACCGGACAACCCCAGTGACATCTCATACACTGATACTGGGCAATTGCAGCGTGGCAGAGCTGAGGGGGCTGCCGTGGATGATCCTCTCACAGCCGTTATTCCCTACAAATCAGCCTCAGCAGAAGGCACCTTTTCCCTTTAGACTTCTGCTCCAGAGTCCTACACCAGTCCTCCCACAGCCACCCCTGCTGAGGACCCCGTGGGCCTCAACTCACCAAGTGCAGAGTGGCAGACGTGCTGCTGGGGGTGGGCAGGGGCACAGCTGCACGCCTCCCCCAGCCCCGGTGGCCACAGCACTGCCAGTAGCCGCAGCAGCAGCAGTGCCCAGGGGCTCCAGGGCATGACACTGCAGAGCCCCCTCTAAGTCTGGGGGTGGAAACTGCTCCTGCAGAACGCCTTGTGGCCCTCTGCCCACGCTTTATGAGGGGGCTCTAGGACCAGTCCCTCTCAGATAGGTTCCGCCCTCCTTTGGCTATAGGCCCACCCATGGCTGCAGGACCTGAGGTCCTCCTGACCGACAGACTAAACTGAAGAGCAAAGCCTGGAGAGTCTGAGCAATTAAGACCTCTAGAAACCGAGGGAAGGCACTGGGAGAGGGGATGGTGTCCAGGGCAGGAAGACAGCGAGAGCAATGAAGCCATGCATGAGCAGAAAGATGGAGGTACTGCCATTCACACAGGAGGAGCCAGTGAGGAGCGGCACAGACAGAGAGGAAGAGACGTGCTGAAATCAGAGAGAGGCAGGCAGAATTACAACAGGCAAAAAGATGGTGACAGAGAAGGACGATTCCTCGCTGGGCTGCACGCTGGGAATGAGACAGGCTACTCAGGCCTCCTTTCAGCTGCAGGAAGTGTTTTCAATGCCCTATTTATGAGGCTCCAAAGCAGCAGCAAACAGTTGGGGAATAGGACAGAGAAAGTTGGGGTGTGTGTGTGTGTGTCTTGGCTCTGTCAGCTGGGGGGTGGGGAGGGATGTCTGAGAGGCAGCCAGAGTTTTAGAAACACTTTGCTCGCAGCCTGGCCTTCAGTCTGCAGATAGCAGAGGCAGCGCTCTCAGTGGGCAGACTCAAAGCCTTGTGTCCACACCCTGGGCTACATTGATTCTTAATTCATGTCACTGCCATGTTCCCCCCACACACACCCCGCGACTGTGGTGATGTAGAAGGCAGGCCAGATCAAAACCAAGAAGCAAGCCTGGCCCACTGTTGGTTAGCACAGTGCACAGGGGTCCGCTGAGAGACGTAGCATTCCAGCTGCAGGTGTCACAGGGGTGGGCTAGACTCTGCTCCTATCACTAGACAGTTCTGTGACCTTCATAACTTGTTCTTCATAAAATAAGACTGAACTACTTTTTCCTTTCTCTTTCTGACTGGGAGATCAAGCCCAGGGCCTCAAACATGGCAGGTTTCATCCTCAGCTCTGAAGTACATGATTTATTTCTAAAGCGAGTCTTTCCCACAGCTTGGATTGGCTTCGGCCAGGAGTGCTGAAGTCCTCAAGTCAGATTCTCTCAAACATCTCGTCACACCTACCTTCCATGAGAATCTGACTTGTCACCAGAGTCAGCCCTGTTTTCTTTAGAGGATGCCTTTCCTGGGACAGTACTAGTGACATTTGACAAACAAAAGAGAACTGAGTCAGGCTGTGAAGATGACAGGGCCAAGTTGGTGTGCAAATTGGTTCTTTATACAGTCCAAACCAAGGCAGGTTGTTATTTAAAGCATTCAGTTCAGTCTCATTTGAGAAACACAAAGGCTGGGGCTCATTGATGCAAAGTAACTTACGGAAAGTTGTTGGGACGCGCAAAGCCATGTGTCCCAGGGTGTGGTGCGCCTCCTCCTCCACCCCACTACTTCTTCCACCTGCATTTTGTTGCAGCTTGAAATCCTGCCTGTGAAGGGTAATTCCACCTTTAAATTGTGCCTTTAGATTTTATTGTTCCTCTTTCTTGAGCTACCACAAAGAGTTTACTTTAAGAAGGCCTTCCAAAGGATAATTATACTGAGTTCTTACATTGTTTCTCCTCCAAACCCCACACTGGATGGAAGCAGGCCTTAGTATACCAAGCTGCTAAGCTGTGTTTTGCCGTGAGTTTCAGGGGAGAGTGTGAATGAGGGAGAGAGCAGCCCAACTCAGCACAGGAAAGCTGGATGTTGGAAGGAGATGGGTATGGAGAGGCACATTAACATGCTAAAGGTATGTCCAAAAGATTGAGGCCGGTTAGGGTACACTTTTGCCTTCAGTGAAAGTTACCCTTTCAAAGATACGTTGTTGTTGTTCAATCTCTTCAGTGGTAATCCAGCCCTGCCCAGGATTCATATAATGCAGATGCAGAGAGATGTAGAGAGTACCAAACAGAAGAATGGAAGCTTCAGAGCTGGGTCTGTAACATGCTGTGACCTTGGGCAGGCCACTGTCATTCTGTGAGCTCCGTTTTTTCGTTTATAAGGAAGTAGATTGGATTAGTTCTCTTAAGAATGCTCCAAGGTTGTTCTCAAGAAAGATATTCGCAGGACTCCCTAGAGACAGGCCCACGCCGACCCATCCTTTCTTTCCTTCTCGGCTTTCAGCTGACGCTGCCCACGTTCCCTGTGGTGGTGAAGATTGGCCACGCTCACTCAGGCATGGGCAAGGTAAGCAGGAGGCCCTTCAGTGCTCTGGGTTTATGCCCGGAAAGGCATTTTCCAGAAAGTCCATAAACGGAGCACTCTCCTCTCTCTGTGACTGAATTATTTCTAAAGGTACAGTCTTGTCCCTTGGAGGGGAGGAATGTTGCCATCATACCCCTTTCCACAAGCAAAGTACAGCCATCTGGTCGGTCCCTTGGGTCTTTGGCTGCAGGCCTGGCTGCTGCACCTTAGAGAGGGATGCCAGAGAAGAAGGGATTGCCCTTGTGACTTCTTAGTGTATATATGTGTATGTGGCTCTTTCTCCCTCTCTGCCCCACCATTAGGTCAAAGTGGAAAACCACTATGACTTCCAGGACATTGCTAGTGTGGTGGCCCTCACCCAGACATATGCTACAGCAGAGCCGTTCATTGATGCCAAGTACGATATCCGGGTCCAGAAGATTGGCAACAACTACAAGGCTTACATGTGAGTGGGGACAGGAAGGCGTCTTCATTAATCTTATCTTAAGCTTCCTCTCACCTGGCCCATAAGGCAAACTATAGGGAAAGGTTGCCACCTAAGCTCTGGATTCTTTATATAATTCACCTATGAACTCAGGTGAGAATGAAAATGAATACTTCTTTTTACTAGCCTCAGGTTATGATTAGACTGCAGACTGAAGTAGTGGGAATATGTAGGACTTGGTCATTAAAGATAATCACAGAAAATCTTGTGTCATTCACACGATATTATAACATGTATGCCTAGATCTCATTCCTCTGGTCATTATTTAAAAATCATGGTAGTTATTAGCTCTGCTACTACAGCTTATTTGCATAAATATTTTACTCATCATAAATTTAATATTTTAACAACTCTAGCCAGGTACCTTTGTCATCCTTTATACTTTATTTAATATATTTACATCTTACTTATTTCATACTCAGAGAAGAATCCATATATCTTACCAGATTGCTAAATCACACAAAAAAGTTAAACCCCTAATTGAAATAAACAACCTGGAAATGCTACACAATATTGTTTTCCCCACATACCTCTGCCATTTGGCAAAATGCAAAGCTACCATTGCCCTCATGAGGTTTCGAGACTGCCAACCCTCATAATACACATAGGACTACAAATGGCTTATAAGTAATATTTTTAAAATATTAATCTCCCACTTGGTAAAAAAGTTAAGACGGTATTTCCTTTACAAAGAGTCTTAATGGATGAATTTGACCTTTGCCATTCAAGACTTCAGCACATGTCAAAGTTCAACAACCATCTAGTCCCTTCCTCACCTGCTGCCTTTGCCCTTCTTTTAATGTCATACCCCCTCTGGTAGTGGTAGTTAGGCACCCCTTCACAATCCCTCCTCCAAGACCTTTCAGCATGTGGGTGCTATGTCTTGCTCTCCCTCTCTTGACTGAGCTTCCTATGGGCAAGAATGATGGAATCACCCAACATCCTCTGGCAGCAGGCACACAGGAGATACCCACAGGTGCTCCAGGGAGAGCGCTGACAGAGAGAACTGAGGCAGAGCCAGAGTTTTTGTTGTTGTGATTTGAGTTGTACTGTGTGTACGTGTGTGTGTGTGTGTGTGTGTGTGTGTGTGTGTGTGTGTGGTTTGTGCACACTGTTGCTTTGGTGCTGGGAATAGAATCCAGGACTTCATACATGTTAACCACACGCACTTATCATTGTTATACCTCCAACCCAGAACTTTTTTTTACCTTCATTGATTGGCTTTCTTTTTCCCCCTAATACCTGGAATTCATTTCAATAAATAATATCTTATATGATCAGAGTTACAGAAGCATTACGCCTTTGTGTTCCTCCTTAAGAGTATCCTCCTTTGGTCTCTCTGAGTGTGAATGACTTGAGTCATGTATAATTTATCATGTCTCGGTGTATTTTAGATCTAGCTTCTGCATATTAGAGAAAACATGTGCTGTTGTCTCTCTGAGCTTGGCTTATCGCACTTAACATGATTTGTTCTAAGTCCATCCACTTTCCTGCAAATGACACAGCATTATTTTCTAATGTCTGTGTACAATTCCATTGGGTATTAGTAACACATTTCCTTTTTGTAAAGTTTGTGATTTTTATATTTAAAGTCTTCCTGCCTCCAGAAAGGAGGCATGCAATGCATGTGCTGGTCCTCAGGCTTGAACTCAGGGCTTGGGCACTGTTCCTGAGCTTTTTTGCTCAAGGCTAACCCTCTACCACTTGAGCCACAGATCCACTTCTGGCTTCTTTGGTGGTTAATTGGAGAGAAGAGTCTCACAGAGTTTCCTGCTGGGCTGACTTTGAAGCCTAATCCTAAGTAGCTAGGATTACAGGCGTGTGCCACTGGTACCTGGCCTAAGTTGGATCTTAAAATGAACACAATGTAAGACAGAAGTTTGAACAATTCTATTAAACAGAAAAACACGTATTTTAGATACTTAAGCAGATACTCTACCTTTTCATTTTGCATGCCCCAAATATTAAAGACTGAAAGCAATGATGGAACAAAAATATTTTGATCCCTGCAAGGAGACACTAAAAATTTAAAAGTTAGTTTCCAAAGCGATATAAAATGATGCATAAGAAAGAAGAAATTCTAAACATTGGTGAAGGGAGATGACCAGAGAAGCTTTGGATGACATTTACTTACTCAGCTTCTTTCCGTCACATCTTTTCTCCAGATTCTTGGCTATATTCCTGCCTTTAGAAGTGGCTAAGATAAGCCCTGGGATTTACCTGTATCCTGTTCCCCCACTAGCGATCCTGGCACAGCAAAGTTCAGGGGAAAGCGGTGCTGGCTCCATTGTCATCGGACCAGACAGGGCCTCTGTGGAAGTGACATGACCTGTAATTCTAGGAGCAATTGTGCTATCACTGAGGAGCCTTCAGTGTTTCAGCTGCTCCCACAGCCCAGAGAGGGGGCCTGTATGGATCTGGGTGTGTGTAGTGTTTTAGAGAAGGGTATGACAACTTTGGGAACTTTGCAAACTTCCAAGTGCCACACAGATATAAGTGATGTTATTATTTACTCAAAGATCTTTTCATTATATTTTTATTTTCTTTAATACCATTCAACAAAGCAATTTATAAATACAATTAACCTGCTGGTGCCAGTGGCTCACACCTGTAATCCTAGCTACTCAGGAGGCTGAGATCTGAGGATCGCAGTTCAAAACCAGCCTTGGCAGGAAAGTCCATGAGACTCCTACCTCCAGTTAACCACCAGAAAACCATAAGTGGCGCTGTGGCTCAAGTGGTAGAGCACTCACCTTGGGCTGAAGAGCTGAGGGACAGCGCCCAGGCCCAGAGTTCAAGCCCCATGACCAACCAAAAACAAAAGAAACAATTAATCGATGTCATCCCTTTCATCATTCTCTGCCATTCCTCACAAGCCTCCCCCTTCTTCAGATACCCAAAGCCTTTGAGATCCTGCATATCATGGCTTTGCGCTGAGGACATAGAAGTGATTGACTGTCACAGAAGCACAATTGTAAACCATTAATGTTTGAAAGACAGAGTTATTTCTAGTAGGATTTTTGTCTTTGTCTTCCTACTTCGGTTTTGCAAGCCACTCTGCTGTTTGCTTTTCTGAGTCAGGTAGTGAGTGTAGCACATCACACTGAAGGAATTAAGGATTTATGGATTATTTTGTTTTATTTCTTTTTATTTTTGTGGTAGTGCTGGGGTTTGAATTTGGAGTCCTGTGCTTGCTAGACAGGCTTTTTACCACTAAGCCATGCTTCAACCTTACTTGTTTTTACCAAAAAAAATCTTCAAAGTTGGCCATCATCCTCCTGTTTATGCTTCCTGGGCAACTGGAATGATAGGTGCCTATCACTGCACCCAGATTTTTTTTTTGATATATGGTTTTACAAACTTTTTTTTTTTGGTGTAGGGCTTGAACTCTGGGCTTGGGTGCTGTCCCTGCGTTCTTCAGCTCAAGGCGAGCACTCTACTGCTTGAGCCACAGCGCCACTTCCGGTTTTCTAGTGGTTTATTGGAGACAAGAGTCTCACAGATTTTCCTGCCTAGGCTGACTTTGAACCGTGATCCTCAGATCTCAGCCTCCGAGTAGCTAGGATGACAGGTGTGAGCCACCGGCACCCGGCTTTTACAAACATTTTCTCTAGTTAGCCTCCCAAGATCCTCCTTATCTCTGCAGTCCTCGCATTCTTTGTCTTCTGTGTAGCTGGGATAGTAGGTGTCCGCCACTATATTTTACAGATTCTGGGTATCTGTTTTGACTAGATATACAGTATTAAACAAATCATATCACATTTTAAGGCTTTGTTCTTTTTAAATGGAGCAAGAATTCCAGCTTTCTTACAGGGAGAGGTTGAAGTGAGGCTCTTGGGTAAGGAAATTCATGAGGAAAGAAGTCAGTACTGGCCAAGTGGGAGGAGTTTTGTGATCCCATTAGCTGACTTTCTAGACTGCCTTAGGCTTCTGAAAAAACTATCCACATAGGTTTCTTGGTTTCTCAGTGTTTGGAATCAGAATCAGAATCTCACCAGAAGATATAGCTGGAAACTCCCCAAATGGTGTTGAGCGGTAGGGACAGCACATGGGGGACTTTCCCCTCCGCCATGATGGAGGGGCGAAAAATAATTATTTAAAAGGTGCACCGGGTATGATGATACATGCCTATAATCTTAGCACATGGGAAGTTAAGTCTACATGGTAAGATCCTCCCTGTCTTACATAGACAAAAATGAGCCGGGCTCCGGTGGCTCACGCCTGTCATCCCAGCTACTCTGGAGGCTGAGATCTGAGGATCCTGGTTCAAAGCCAGCCCCAGCAAGAAAGTCCATGAGACTCTTAAAGACAAAAATGAACTACGTAGGCCTGTTCCGATGGGTCCTTCTGGCTATTCTGTGTTTACTGACAAGGGAGACTCAGAAAGAAAGGGGAAGTGCTAATGGTTGCCCATCCAGTCAAGAGCAAATCCAGATCCGGGAACTTGGCCATCTGCACCCCATTTAGTCAAAGACTCGTCAGATGTCACCTGTGCTTGTGAATGGAGGGTCCAATGAGCATAGGGGGGGTGGGCTTGAGGCTGTCGGCTCCATTTGATGAGGCCCGTGAAGTCAATGGACTTACCAACAGCCACAGTGCTCGTACTCCAGCGGCTCTTACCTGTTGACTGAATGAATGATCTGCTAGCAAGAAACGTTGGAGGTTCACAAGACAAGAACCTGTAGGAATTAGCAGGATGAATGGAATTCTGTCTGTATATTCGTGTGTGTGTGTGTGTGTGTGTGTGTGTGTGAGTGAATACTAGGACTTTAATTCAGAGCCAGGGTGCTCAAGGCTGGTTCTACCACTTGAGCCCTACCTCTATTTGCATATTCTTAGTGAGCCCAGGTACTGAGTGAGTAGGCTTGTAGGAGTACATATTCCATATATACCCCCGTGAGTTATGTAATAGTAGACATATCTTAGCTTAAGACTAAGCTCAAATCACTAAAATAAAAAGTAGAAGACTCCAAGTGAGATACAGGCAAAGTTCTGAAGCCAGAGCTCCCTTGCTTGAAATGGTCAGGGCAGCACCTCTGAAGCGAGACCTTCATGCAGAGGAAGGCATCACAGATAGAGACGGCCAGGCTCCTGGGCTATTTGTAGAAGAAGCAGGTGGGCAATACAGCAGTGAAAGAAAATTCTGGAAGGTTTCATGGGCTTTTCTTGAGCGTGGGGTTCACGGCCTGTTCTTGCTTTGCGGGCCTTGCTGCAGGAGGACATCCATCTCAGGGAACTGGAAGACCAACACTGGCTCTGCAATGCTGGAGCAGATCGCCATGTCAGACAGGTGAGTAGAGAGGGTCCCAGTCCCCCTGGGAGGTAGACTGCTGCTGACACGAGGGAGCCTCTGAACAGACGGGACAAGTGACACGCAGAGTTCCCAAGCATCCAGCTGACATTAGGCAGGCCTGGGTCATGTACTAAATATGAGGTAAACACTACATACTGTAGAAGCTCCAAGAAAGGAGGAGTAGGTAGATGTGGCTTAGATTATCCAGGGAAGGCCTCCTTGAAGAGGTCAGGGCTGCTCTGGCTCGGGAAGATGGAGAAAACTTGGAGAGCAGAAAAGGAAGGCACCAGGCTTGATGGAGGTAGAAGGGGAGGGGACGGATCAGGACAGGGAATAGGAGAGGCAGGGGCAAAAGGAGATCTCTCCCTCCACTCAGCTGCCCTGAGCTGGTGTCCCAGCCTCAGGATCCCTTTCCCTCCCTCTAGGTACAAGTTATGGGTGGATACCTGCTCTGAGATGTTTGGCGGCCTAGACATCTGTGCCGTCAAAGCTGTACATGGGAAGGATGGGAAGGACTACATCTTTGAGGTAAGTCTGCCCCAGGGAATGTCTCAGCAAGAAGCCACACCCTAGCCTAGAGGCCAAACCCAAGGCAGATGCAGTGGGGATGGGCAGGGTTCCCTTGGGGGGGGGGGAGCTTCCATCTTCTTCCTCCATATGAGCGAGCCGGATGATGGAGTCTGTGATCCTAGACATTTCTTAAGTGGAAATAAACAGTTGATCTTGACCTTAAGAAACAGGAAAAATAAGGACTGGAGAGGGGGAGTTGTGGGTGGGGGGGGGGGCGGGAAAGAGGGAAGACAGCCCAGGTCAGAAGCAAGGCAGGAATCTGGTCATTTAGTGAGCGGAGCAGATCTGAAAACAAAGGTTGTATCAATGAAAAGTCAGAGATGAGAAATGCCTGCTATTTACCAGATATGTCAAGAAATGCCCTTAATGTCTTCAGCCCCTCTGCAAACTTCCAGCCCAAGGCCGAACCCTCTCTCCCCTCTCCCTCTTCTCCAGTCCCTGTAGCCAGTTATCTCCATCTTGCTGGGCTCTGGCTTGAGTGGAGATCAACAGGAGGGGGTCTGAGACAGAGGAAAGGGTTCTACATCTGCCAAGGAACATGTTTTCAACTGAAAACAAGGATCCTCTTCCTTGCCAACTCCTCTCCACCATTCTGAAAGCACATGCCAGGCCTTCATGTCTCTAGACCCTGTTCTTCACTGGGCCGCGTCTTCTTCCAGGTCATGGACTGTAGCATGCCACTGATTGGGGAACACCAGGTGGAAGACAGACAACTCATCACTGAGCTAGTCATCAGCAAGATGAACCGGCTGCTGTCCAGGACTCCTGTCCTGCCTCCTCAGAGACCCCTAACCACCCAGCAGCCACAGGTAAGCAGCTCTGCAGAGACAGTCGCCAGGCACCACCATTAGACAGCAGGGGTTCCAGGCTGGAGTAGAAGTCAGTTACGGGATGTAAGGAGGCTCCTTCCTCTTCTGTATCTTCCTTCCTTCCTCTCTGGAGGCCTGATCATTTCCCACCCCTGACAGGGCCCTTCTCAACATCAGCTGCAGAACTGGGTGGGGGTGCAGTGCTGGGTCTTCCTCCTGAGCCTCATGCTTCCAGAGCCAGTGTCTCCCTGGACTTGGGACACTCTCATTGTGCACTGAGAGGTCCAGGAAGAGCTGGCAGAACTCTCCTAGCCGTTCACTGCCATAGGGAAGTTTCAAGGAAGGAGCTTTAGGAGACACTGCTGGACAGAGCTCTCGCTAGCTGTTCACTGCCTTATTTATAAAGAAAGAGCTGGCTCAGATCGCGCTGGCCATGTTAGGAGAAATTGCTGGCATAGAAGAGGGGAAAGAATCAAGTCCTTAATTCTGGAGGAGACGGAAAAAGCAGAATTCACATTTGAAATCTGTTTCTAAACATCACACAGCACCCACCAGTCATGTTCTCCGCAAACCCCTTGCGGAGAACAGCCTGACAGCCAGGGCACACCTGAGACCTGTGTTCTTGTACAGTTTCCTCCACAAAGTGCATAATCACACACGCGTGGGGACGGTGATGTCACTAGGCTGTACTCCCTCACGGACCAGCATCATTTGTGTGGTCAGTCATTGCTCTGAACACTACGGGGCACATGACTGAACATCACGGGGTACTTGAAAGTGGTTTGCCTGGCCGCTGTCACCCATGTGTCAAAAATGTCAACAGCACTGACAAAACTATCTGCCTTTTGCTGTTCTATTATGTGTACCTTTGATAGTACCAAGATAAAAGCTCTTCCTATCTAGGCAAACTGCTTTCACCACCTCTCTTCCCTTGGTTGGTTGTGGTTAGACACATTTGATGAAGGAGTTTCCATTTGGAGTAAATACAGTCTGATCTGCCTATTTGGAGTTGATCTTAGAGATCTGTGGAGATCTTGGCAGTGTGCACATAAAAGGGATGTGAGCCAATCTGGACGTGGCCTGGATCACTGGGCCACACACGTGAAGTCCTCTCACTGACCTCACGCATGACTGTGGAAGCTCAAGCTTCAAGAGCTCCTGCCTGGAGCCACAGCCCTAGGGCTGTGAATTCTAGACCAGGGATCTGGGGAGACTGGCAGACTGCCTGCCTTTCTGTCTGTCCTTGCCTTCAGCCCTGCCTCTAGAGCCTTCGCTTCATTGATTGTAGTAAAGCTGCAAGTAGGGCACACCTTGTTAGGATCTAGCCCTCTACCTTGGGGTACATTAGCAAGCTGCGATTCACGATCCCAAGAAATGGGTACAGGGGTGTAAGAGGCATTGGCCGTATCACTGAAAGCAAGGAGGCGAGTGGCAAAGCTGATTTGGCTGAAGCTCAGCTTCTGCCTGGCGGCACTCCCAGCCTCAGGGCTGCTGAGGCCATTGACCCTCTACCCAAGGACTCAGTGGTGTTTTAGGGGCACTCTTCTCAGAGTAGCAGTGACACCTGGTGGCCAGTAATGGCCATCACCTCCAGGCTGGAGGCCAAGAAAGCCTTTTCCCTGTATACTCTGCTCCCTCATCCATCTCCAACATGTTCACCGGCTCTCTTGAGGTTTCTCATCCAGGATCTGACACGAGTTCTTGCCTCTTGGGGCTCTGGTAACGTGTGGGCTGCCGCACAGGCTCCCAGGAAAAAGGGACAGAAGCTTAGGTGGGCAGGGATTTCAGTCCCTGCCAGTGGGGTGGCATTCTCTTCCTCACCTTCATGGGGCTCGCGTTTCATTTCTCATCCCACTGGTCCCACTCCTTATGTCTTCCTGTAAAAACTTCCAGAGACAAAAGGCCAAATGCTAATGCAGGAATTTCAGATGCTGATGGGTAAGGCCTAACTTCAGCACCCCTCAGTTTAGGCCTCAGAGCTCGCTTCCTGTTGAGCTTGTGGATTTGACCCAGGGGGAATGATTCATTGATACACATCTGGTGCCAGGGTACAGATGAACATCTTCTTCCCTGAGCTGACAAGGCTACACCTGGGGCTGCAAGGACATGCTCTTAACTGAGAATGCTGGGAGGAAAGAAGCCACGAGGCAGGGCCAGGGGCTGACCATGTGTGGTCAAAGTTAAAGGAACCACAGTTGAATAACAATTGTCTCAAGGAGCCTGTGACTCAAGGTCTTCAGCTCTCTGATGCAGTCTCAGATTAGAAATGGCTCCAAAGGCAAATCTGCTGGAAGACGTGGTTTGATCCTTTGTAAGAAAGAAACGCACAGAGAGCACCAGCGGCTTTTCCGGGGAGTGGCGAGGGACTGTCCAGTTGTTGCTGCTGTTCAGGTGGGACAGGAGGAGTTTCTTGTCAGGGACATGGTGACAAGGAGAGATGGCTGAGGTTAGGCTGTGGGATCAGATGGCTTTCCAAATCTTCAGATCTGGGATGCTTTGCTGTCAGCTATGCAGCCCACAGGACCTGGGAGAGGCAGTGATGAGTTCAGAAATGAAGGACTGGAGCTGGATGACCTCTCTAGCTTCTGGTGGACGTTCTGTCTGTCTTTGTTCCCTGGATTTCTTGCCTAAAAGGAGACTCAAATTATTTCTGCCCAGTTCTTTGCTATGATCTCTTGAGTTCAAGGAGACCAAGACTAAGACGAGGGTCTCTGTACTCTGAGAAGCACAGCCTAGAGATCTGTGTATGCGGGGGTGGGGGTGGGGGGTGGGAGTCACAACTGTCACGCCCAGTGCATAGGGGTAAGATTCACTTGAGCCTGCAAGAGGTAAATTTAGGACAAATGCAAGCCCTTCCCTCTTCCCACAGCAGGACTGGCTTCAGAGAGTGTGTTCCCCAGTGAGAGTAAGCTGAGAATGTGAGGGGATTTGAGGCAGATTCAGATAAAGCCACTAGTGACCAGATCCCTTAACGGACTATTAAGAGACACTGACTATTTTGGGACTGTCTTAACTTTCAGGGACATCTTTAATCACTTGAAGCTGACATTCTGACCCAGGGTGACCTGACCCTCGGTGCCCCCACGGGACTCACGGGCCGCCCAGTGGGACATTCCTAGTGTCCTTAGGTTGTGGGAGACCCGCAGTCCATCCGAAGAGCAGCAAGCCTCCCTCAGGCAGGAAGGACGGACAGCCCGTCCTTGGACCCCCACGACCTTTCACCACTTCCCGTGGAAGGTGGGCACGGGCGTGCAGGGCGAGCTCGGAATGCTTCCAAGGTGCTGAAAACACGCCGTCCCCTTTGCTCTACAACCTCCTGACCACATTCCTTCCTGCCGCTTCATGCTCCCTGGGGTCCCAGGCCGGAGAAGCGAGGCCTGGGGGAGCTGATCAGAATAGTTCTGTGGCGTGTCCAGCAAGGATTTGGCCTGGCCCCTTTCCTGGGGCCAGACCCTGGGACCCTTTCTCAATTTCCTGTCTCAGATATGCTGAGCAAGCACAGGCCTTCCTCCTTGGTGGGGGCAGCTGGTCTCCAGCCAACAACTCACAAGAGTTGAGTCACTCGGTGCCTTTCCTTCCTCAGCTTTCCATCCTGTTGGGACCTTAGATAGGAGCGCCTCTCTCCTGGTCTGTCTGCAGAAAACCACAGGATGGCAAATTAAAGATGCCTTTGGCAAAACCCCCCCAGACCCTCATACCAGGCCAGCAGTTTTCTTTCCTGTCACCTCAAGAGCTAATATTTACTCTCTCTGAACTGGCTTTTCTACATCCGCAGGGACCTTGCAGAACTTGACATACAAAAGGGCACGGTGAATAGCCCAGCCCCAAGTCATGCACACGCGTGTGAACTGTGTGCCAGGCAACGGGAAGCCACACAGCAGCGCCTTCTCCGTGGACACAGGGGCTTCCCACGTAACAGCTCTGCTCTTTGGAGTGATATTTATTCTCACTTAGATAAGGGGGTGATGTCTGCTGACATCACTTGGCCTAGCACTACTCTTACATTTATGAAGCACGTTCGTTATTGTCAGCTTCACAATCATATGTGAGATGGGCTAGTAATGCTGTCTCTGACTACATAGCAGCCAGTATCATGCAAGTGACTTGTCCAGAGTCACATAGCTGTGAAGGAGGAGAGCTGGACCTTCTAGGTCTCTCCACTGGGCATCTCTATAGCTCTTTTGCTTCCACCAGAGAACAGAGGAGTAAAGAACTGGGTGTGTGTGGCCCTGGGTAAGGAAAACCCTTGTTCTCCTTGGCAATCAAGTCTGGGCCTGCCAACGTGGTACCAGCCGCCCCCATGGCACATTTATCTGTGCTGCTGCCTGGGATGGGCCCCTCTGGTCAGTCATCAGAGACCCTTGGGTGCAGCAGGACACCAGTCCAGTCAGCTGCTCTGGAGGGGAGCAGAACACACCTCACCAAGCCCCTTCAAACCTATGCCTTCAGGATATCTCTGCTCAGGCCTCGTAGCCCTGGGGTCTAGAAGAGCTCAAGACTGTCCAGCTAGGAAGGGCTTATCTTATCTCCAGCATTGAGAGAACTGAAAAATGCACAAAGGAATGAATAGAAGCCTGGAGCCAGCAGGGCCTGCAGAAGTCAGCCCCGAGCTCTCCACTGACCAAACTCCTCTCACCAGAGTGTGTCCAGGTCCTGCTTAGCCCCTCCCTCCCGCCACGGCAGCCTAGACAGGATCTAGATTCACACCGGCAGATTTCAGTGTGTTGAGCCCACATGCTGCACCGTTACCTCACAGAATCCTCACAGGGTCCCCACTAATGGAAACAGATTCAGAGATCAGGCAACTTGCCCAAAGTCACATGAAGAAAGAGGTCACAGACTCATTTTATTCTGCCAGCACGCCTGGCAGATGGCAGCAGTGCTTGCTCTCCAGTCTTGGTCAGGTGGAAAGAGGCAAGCCCGCGTCGACCCTGTCCCCTGCAGGGTGGCGGTGGGTCCCAGCGACACCCTCTAAGTGCAGGGTGGTTTGGAGGCTTTCTTCTTAGCCTGCCGGGAGGCTGTTTTCCTTTTTGTTGTGTGCAGCTGATCACATGTTCTAGACTTCACATTCTTACCTGTTTGAGTCAACCCAGCTTCCTGCGGGAAACTGCTGCTCAGTTTGACCACGAGTGCCTGCCTTGGGCTGGCTACAGGCCAGACTTCGGCGGTGACGCCAGGGTGACCAGACTTCTGTGGAACTCCACTTCCCAGGAGACTTCTGACCACACGGGAATAAACCTTCAGCCTGGGTAGACGGGGCCTGTGGGCTGAGCGAGGGCCCCCGCCTGGCATGGACGCTCCTCGGGGACCTTGCTCTGTGCCTCTCAGAGCCTCTGAGAAGTATTTGGTTCCACAGCCTCGATGGAGCTGGAGACAGAAGAAGTTTCTTAGGCGCCAGCAAGGGTGGCCAAGGCGCATTCCCAGGCTCGGCCTCAAGGATGGCCCCTGGGAGCTCTTCCCCAAAAGCTTTGGGAAGCGCGTTCTGAGGTCATTGCGTCCTTGAGTAACGCACGTGCATCGCTGTGTGGCTGAGGAGAGCCAGGCTAGCCTGCGTGGCGTGCTCTCCCTCGGCCTATGGGGCCCAAGAGAGGGGACTAGCAGGAGCCAACCTGCTGGGGCCAGGCTGGGCTTCTGCTGCCCTACACCTGGCAGGGTGCCCATCCCAGGCAACGAGAGGCCAGTGACAGAGACAGCCTAGAGGAGGACAGAAAGGGCAGCCCTGGAAAGAGCAGGAATGTGTAGGACTTAGGAAAGGAGGCGAGACAGGCTGATTCTGGCCATGCTGAAGTAATTGGAGTCACTGGAAAAATGACTTCTACCTCCTCAGGTCCTTGTAAAGCACGAGGGAGATACTGCATAAAAGGCCCCCGGTGACCAGGCACACAGAAAGCACAATAAAGGGTAGCCCTGAATGACTTAGAGAAGGTAATGGGTACAACTTGGGAAAGTGTTTTGGATAGCAGGTAGCCATGGAGAAGATAAGGCTATGCTAGTCTGAACAAGATTTAATACAGACCTAACCAGAGCATATGAACAGAAGGTGGGAAGAACTGGGGAGTCTTGGGGCTGGATGGAGGGGGTCCCCCGGCCCCAGCCTACTTATTGGGTATGGGTACCACAATGACAAGGCTCAGACCGAGTCTTGTTGGTCTGCTGCGAGTGCCGGGGGGGAAAAGGGACAGGCGGTGTTGGCGTTCTTGCTGTGATTGGTGAGCAGTTGCGGCCCCAAGATGTAATGGAACAAAGGTGTTTCAAGGACCTCGATGCCTGCTACCCAGAAGCCTCTTAGAACAGTTTGACATCATGCTGTTCCCAAAATACAAGGAAGGGTAGCACTTCTACCTACTTCCTTGGTGGTAGGACTGAAAAACGTGGCCATGACAGGAGGGAAACTAGATAGCCAGAATCAAGTCCAGAGAGAACAGAGGAGGCTGGAGGAGTGGTGCTGGGGGCTCGGCCCGAGGGAGGAGAGCACTGGGAGGGGTAGGGGGAGGGTGCCCAAGATAGGCGTGGCCCTGGCCGTAGCTCTGAGCCCCTCCCTGACTCCCGGCAGCATCCTCCTCTGGCTTCAGCTTTACAGAGTTTCCCCTCCACCTGTCCAGCTCCACACATTCGCTGCCTTCAGTTTCACTGTCAGACAAACGAAGTCACGTCGTGGTCTTTGATCCTGGCAGGACCTAATCCGAATCACAGCTGGGAGGAGAGGAAGCAGGGGGGTGGAGCCTTGCTGCTGGGCAAAATGTAAAAGCTGCTCACAGACATTAGCATCTTACCCTTCTGAGTCCGGAGGCTTCTGAAAAACAAGGGGGTTCCCTGCTCCCAGCCCTCCCCTCGTTTCCAGCCCAGTCCAGAGTGGGTCTGACTCCGAGCCAGTCTCAGAACCAGTGCCACCTAAAACTTCACTCCCGATGAGGCGTGAGCCCCTTCTAGGCTGATCACCTGGTCCAGCCCCGCTGTGCTCTGCCTTCCTCTCCTGAGCTCCCCGCAGCCCACCCTGTAGGGACCGCAGGCCAAGCGTGGGGCAGGCGGCAGAGAAGACGCCAGGCTGGGTTAGAAGACTCAAAGCTCCTAGCAAAAGCAAGTCTAAAAGAGAAAGAGGAAAAGAGGGGTGAAGAGGTCTCCACGTGGCTCTGAGCCCTCCCCGCCCCCGCCTCACCCCACAGGCCTGCAGGTGTTTCTGGCCAGACCCCATGGCTGCCTGTAGGGGTTCTCTGTGGAGTTCACTTGTGGGTTTGTTTTTATCTCTTTTGCATTTTTGTCTTCCAGAGTGGAACACTTAAGGATCCGGATCCGAGCAAGACCCCACCTCAGCGGCCAGCTCCCCAAGGTTGTTTACAGTATATTCTCGACTGTAATGGCATTGCCGTAGGGCCAAAACAAGTCCAAGCTTCTTAGAATGGCCAGTAGTTAATTTGTTTTTTTAAAGCAGAAAATCTAAGCCAAAAACAAATGAAAAGAAAAGAAAGGCCAGTGGGGTGGGGGGCGCAGCCCTCCGGCAGGCGGTCAGCGCGGTCAGCGTGGTCGCCGCGTTCTTTCAACGCTGGCTGCACTGTGTGTTCTGTGCAGTGTCAGCGCCTCTGTCTGGTTGTTTACCTGTTCCTGTTCGTGCTTGTAATGCTCACTTACGTTTCTCTGTATAACTTGTGATTCCAGGGCTGTTCGTCCACAGTGTACAAAAGAACCGTGCCTCTCCTTAGTCCGGTGTGACTATTTTCTGGGTGGTTTGATAGTATTTTCAAAATGTTGCATAAAGTGGGGCGAGACAGGAATACCAGGGATGGTCGGGGGGTGGGGAACAACAACCACAGGAATAAACCCCAACTCCTCCCTCCTCCCCCAGGCTCCGATCCACACCCGACACCTCATAGGTCTGCCCGGGGTCTTCAGTGAATTGTGCTTTTGCTTCCTGCATGACTAGGGTAAATAGGTAGAACTTTTAAGAGATTTTTCAAGGTCTCATTTCCATAGCTTCATCTGTTGGCTTTGAAGGCATCCATCTTTTTCTCTGTTTGCTAGAATCCGGTGCGGTGTGCGTTTTTGTGACTAGGCTGCTGTGCCTGCATAGCTCTTGTGTTTTTAGTGATGAAGTACAAAGAGCAAGCTACTTCCAGGAATGTGGTCCGTATTTTACACCCCAGTGTACCCTTTGTTTTATTAACTAATTAGCTTGGAGATGAAACAGAAACAAAAACAGGGCCGCCAACGTGCAATATTCAAGTGAACTTGTGTGTATTTTTTGTGTGTTTATCTCAGTCCCCAAAGTTGTTTCCTCTTTGTTGCTGTTTCTGAAGCAGCCGTCTGTGTGCTTCTGTGGAATGGGGCGGCTTTGCGTCCCCAGAGCCTGATCTGTGTGCACAGATGATTCCTTAGCAAGGCCGGAGAGAGGATTCAGGGAGCCGCTAAGAGTCTGGGAGGGATCTGACCATTCCCGAAGCATCCGAACCTGAGACCAAATCAGAGGCGCCCCGTGTAGCCTGGGCGGGCGCCCTGCCTACAAATCCTGATGATGACCCCAGCATTGCTTTTGAGCTGCCACCTCCCCCGCAGGCCCGAGAGTGAGAAGCTTGCTGGGAAGAGCTGTCTCAGGTGTAGGTTGTGTGATGTTGGCCAGAGGCCTCACAGCTTGAGGAACCCTCACCAGCTTGTCCGCCTTCCTCTCACAAGCAGGACCTGGGAGATGCTGCTGCAGGTAGTCACGCCAGGACGCGGGGCCAGTGCCTCACCTCTCATCCCCAGGCAGGGCTGGATCAGGTACCAAGTGTCCTTCTCTAGCCCCGTGGTCCCGGGGAGTTCACGCCAGCAGTTTCCCTTTTAGAAGATATGCTTCTGGCTCTACTTTTACATTCCCTGTGTACTGACAAGGTGCAGTTCTGGAATACCAGACCCAAGGAGCAAGCGGTGTTGATGGTGTGCAGCCTGAGCTCCACGCCAGGGCACGCGTCCTGCTTTCTCCTTTGGTTGCTGGCGGATTCTGAGGCCACAGAGCGAGAGTGTTTTCATCTGTGACCCGTCCCTGAGCTGACGGTGCTCATCAGTTTGTTGTAAATATATACATACATGCACATATGCACTTCCGGGGGGGCGGGGGTTACAGAAGGAACCGGTCCTTAAAGACTTCCCAGTCTGGCAAGATGACAGAGAGGCGTAAAGTCACATTTCCCAGAATGCAGGAATACCTTTTCTGTTGTTTGTTTATGTATCTATTTATTTACTGTCCAAGTGAAGATAGTGGTGTTGCTTCTCTGCATGTTTCCCAACGTGCACATCCAGGTGCTTTCACGTGACATTTGTGAGCCACACATATGACCTTGCCATGTGAATTCAGTCAGGACACTCGGTGTGGGGGGAGGCCTGGCGGGACCCCCCGGCTGGCACCACCGACAGCGCCACCTGGCTGCCACGTGCCCTCGGGCAGCACACTAGGGGACCGCCGCGTGCCCTGGGGACTCTGTCACAGTGTAGGATTGCTGTCCCGGTGTTTTGTATCCATTTCTTTGCTGACATTGTCCCCTTTTTTGTACTAATCCAGCGAGGAGCCCCTCAGCCAGTGCTGGAAGTGTGACTGAAGTACCTCTCTTTTGTGACTCTCTTGTACAGCTTAATGTGCAATAAAGGAAAAGTTATATCTGTCTTCAGTGTTAAGTTGTAAAGTTTCTGGCTGTTCAATGACCTCTTCACAAGTGGGAAAGCACTCAGGTCTCTGGTACAAAAGGACGAGCTATCAACCGGAATGACTTTATAATAAAATACTAATACAATTTAGTCGTGGTGTTAGACTTTGGAAGAGACAAAAGCTGACTAACATCAAATAATTTACTAATCTCTCATCTTCACTAGTTGTCTGACTTGAGCTGGGAACTTCTGAACTATGCAGAATCCCATGTTCTCATGTGTGTGTGTAACTAACCCTCTGTTAACCGGTTATTGGTGGCAGCCTGTGCCTGGCCGTGGAGGTGAGGCGACGGGACAGCATGGTAGTAGAGACACACAGCGCTTCCTCTCCGGGAGGGGCAGGTGCTCCCGCGTTGCCAGTGAGCTACGCGTAGCAATACAAGTCTTTGTTCTAGTCAAGTTTCCCTGAGCCCACTCCTGCCAGCGGGCTGTGTCACAGATGTGGACTCTCGGAGCGAGGCTGAGAAACCGGATCTTACCGGCCAATTGTGTATTGTTTCCACAAGTCGCCGGGTGCTCGTGGAGGCGTCGTTTGACTTCCAGGTGTAGGGACCCCTCAGCAAAGACTGAGCAAACTGGCACCGCCCCTCCTGCCTGTCAGTCCCGAAGAGAAGGAGGGCTTTTCTCTCCAGGCCACCAGATGGTCTGTGTCGCAGGCTGGGAGAAAGGGGAGCTCTTTGCCAGATGGTGCCCACCACATCCCCAGGGGCAAGCGGGGCTTGGATGTCTGGAGAGTTTCCCACGCACCTGAGCGGCACGTCACGCTGGAGCCCCTGAGGATGACGGCACTGAGGCCAGGGGCCTGGGAAGAAAGCAGTAATGCGCCAGTGCGGCCCAGGTGGGGTGGGTGTGGCAGCCAGACACGTGTGGGCTTGGAGCAGGATGCCAGGCACTGCGCGCAGCAGCGGGAGCCCGCGCCCAGGATGCTCATTAAGCACCAGCGCTTTCTGAACAGCTTCTCCCTCCTTATCATCTCTGAAATACTTGTCTTAAAAGCTAAGCACTAGGACTTACTTTTGCGTGGTTTTTATGGTCAGGGAAGCCAAGGCTAAGCAAAGCAAGGCAGCTTGTTTGGTCTCTGGTAGACTGTTCCTTGGGTCTTCCGATTCCCACTCTCCTTCCCCCCCCCCACGCCGGCCCCCACTGAGTGGCATTTGGGACTTGGAGTTGGCTGTGGAACAGGGGGCTGATGCCTGAGGGGCCCCCGGGAAGTGGGCGGGCTTGCTCCTGGCATCTGGTCCTCTGCTCTTCCCCCCTGCCCCCCCACCTGCCTTGCGGGGGGGCAGGTTGTCAGCTTGCAGGGAGGAGCTGTGCACTGCGTGACAAGCTACAGCTCAAAGGGCGGCCTTTGAGCCCCGCAGAGCCTTGCTTGGGCCACTTGTCATAGAGCTGGTAATGCAGTGCATTCTGGGAAATGTAGATTCTACTAAGGAGACCCTTTGATACGGTTACATGATGAAGTTTTTCTTGTACTGAACCTAGGGGGCCCTGGGCAGCCCCCAGGCAGAGCGCTGCCTCCACACCGGCTCCCCCCAGGACCAGCACCGACACCTTCCTCCTCCTCCTCCTCCTCCTCTTCCTCCTCCTCCTCCTCCTCCTCGGCTCCTCAGAGGTCAGGAGGCCCCGCCATGGCCCACGGAGAGGCGCCCTCCAGCAGCCGCTGCCCCGCAGACGCCCAGCCACCCCCGGGTGCACCGCCGCGGGAGCCCCAGCCTCACCCACAGCTCAAGTAAGACACGGCGCGGCCGCCCCTCTCCCACGGCCTCCTCCTGCAGACACTGTGCATGTGTGTGTTCACACGCGTGCGTGTGTGTGACAGGCTGCCCCGCGGGTCGGGGTGGGGCACAGACATCGCAGGTGAGCCTGGATGGCACTGCTGCCGTCCCAGCTCCCTCTCTAGCGTTGCAGTAGTTTGGTTTGGGGTTCTTGTCTGTTTGCTGTGAGTCCTCCCCCGCCCCGTCTCCCACTCTCTTTTCCATCCCTTTCCTTTGTGGGTGTCACTCTCCTAAAAGTTAAAAGAAGTAAGTCCTTCCGGCCTCTGACCCTCGGCTCAGGCTCAGGGCGCCCACCCAGCCGGGCTGCCCGGGCGAGGGCCGAGGGGGTCATGGCTCCAGCCATCCTGGGAGCTGGAGCCCAGGGCGGCTGCGCAGAGGCCCCGCGCCCTGCCCTGCCTCCCGCAGCCACGGGCCCCTGGGTGAGGAGAGCGGGCAGCACCGCCACGAGCAGCATGCCTTGCCATGCGGCGGGTCCTGAGGGGACCGCTGCAGCCCAGGCGTGCCAGCCGCCCGCCCGCCGGGCCTCTGACCGGCAGTGGCGGTGTGGGAGGTGAAGTGAGGGGAGGAAGCCATGCTTGGAGAGAAAGAGCCTTTCCCCACTGAGGGCCAGTCCAGGCCCCGGGGGGGGGGTCACTTCTCCTGGTCCTCTGGTCCCACCCCTCCCCCACGCTGGTGGCAGCCCACCTTCCTCAGCACCGCCGACTTCTCCCTCACATCCACCGGCTCTTGACTTGCCTCAGAGCTGAAGCCCCTGTGTGGACCCAGCCCCGATGCCAGGCGGGAGGCTTCTGTGACCAAGGCCCGCGTAGTGGGCTCCTACCCAGCTCTAATGAAAGGCAGACATCTCCCCACCCCACCCCATCCCATTCCCTGCGGGAGGGGGAGGTAAGGAGATAGGTCGCCAGTCACAGACCTCGCAGAAGGGACTCTGCACGGCCGCACAGCATTTAGGAGAGGGCAGGGAGACCCAGATACCAGAACCCAGTGCGAGTCAAGGAGACAGGACCGTCCGCCCCTCCTGGAGAACGCGCGTGCGCGCACCTGCGGCCTCCCCGCAGCCCCTTACCCTGACTGGTTCTCTCTCCCTGAGTCCCTCGTTACTCTCTGAAGGGAAAAATACGTCCCTGAAGTGCACGGGGTTAGGTTTTCATTAGCAATCTACCACTAATCGTGGTCTGATATGTATGCCTTGAGTTCCTGCTCACTGTGCCCACCAGACTTCAGAAAAGGGAAATGGAGGCATTAGGGTTTGGGGCCAAACCACCGGGTTCCCTTGGAATCAAAAGAATTGAGAAGAGAATGAGAACCAGGAAGGCCTACCGATCACCCATGTGCCAAACGGCCCGACACAGTCACGCGGGCCAGCGCCGGGGCTGGAGGGGCACGTGGCCTGCCCCAGCCCGTGTGAGTGTGTGGCAGGGCTCTCAATGTGCCTGGGCCTGCAGACGCTGCACCCCTCCCCGCCACCTGACGAGTGGAGGCAGGAGCCACAGGCTCTGGCCCCACCTTTTACCAGGGGGGCTGAGGGCCCAGAGGCACGCTTGCAAAGTCGCAGCTTTAAACAAAGCTCTCTGGAGTCGGTCACCCTTTCCTCCTCTTTCCCTCCTCACCCTCCTCTTGTGTCTTGGCAGCACCAGGGCCTGCTCGTTTCCCGGTGGCACTGCCGCCTGTAGCTGTCTCCTGTCCCCCGGCCTCCCTGGGGCGGATGTGGGAGTGGTGGCCCTTACGTCGCTGTGCGTGCCCGCTGGCAGCGCCACCCTCTGACCCTCTCTCTGGTTTTTATCTTCAAGCAAGTCGCAGTCCCTGACAAATGCCTTCAGCTTCGCTGAGTCCTCCTTCTTCCGGTCTTCAGCCAATGAGGATGAAGCCAAAGCGGAGACAATCCGGAGCTTGAGGAAGTCCTTTGCCAGCCTGTTTTCAGATTAGCTCCTCAGCCAACCAGGAAAGGCACCCGAGATGCTCGCCAGCAGCAGGCCGCCGTGCGGGGTGGCGGCAGGCTGTGACTCGTGACTCGCGTGGCCCCTGCCTGTGTTCCGTTGTGCTCGGTGGTGTGGTGCGGCCCAGGAAGGACCAAATGATAGTGTGAGGGCAGGTGCAGGCCTGGAGCGAGGCCCCCAGCCCAGACCCCAGAGGAGAGAGCTGCTCCCAACCCAGACCCCAGAGGAGAGAGCTGCTCCCTGTATTCCCGAGAGCTCCCTCCTGAGTCATTGTGAGTTTAGTGGCCTTGGTGTGACGGCGCCATCCTGTCTTACTCTTCCCCACGAAGCCAGGATCCTCCTGTCTGAGGACCCCTGGAGGCTTCTCCACGCGCAGATGCATGCCTCCTGTAGTCAGGGCCGCTGGGCAGCAAGTACCTGCCCAGAGGTGCTTGGTCTCAGCCCCCCCTGGCCCTAGATCCTTCGTGGTACCTGTTAGAGCACACGCTCCAAACCCCACTCTCCCTGAACTGCTGTGGGCGTACAGTGTTGTGAGTCTGCCCACCCGAGAGAGCGGGGGCTCCTCCGTGTCTCCCCCCTCCCCTCTGGAGAGCCGCTCCTGTGTGGGACCGGCCTTGACGTGGAGAGCTGCCCTGTGGAGACCGCATGCCCTGCAGCAGCGCTGTGCAGCCCGCGCGCCTCCCCAGCCCGTGTCAAGACCTTTGGTGTAATAAAAGCAGCAACCTCAACCGGCTTTCTATTCAGCCGTGAGCCCCCCACCTTCCCCCCATCACATGTAGGCTGGGAGGGCTGTGGGCGGGTGGGGGTACAGGGTGAGCGTGCGTCTGTGCGGGACTGCCTGGCTCGTGGGCGCGTGGCTGTCTGGGTGCCATGCTGGCGCTCTGGGCCTGTCTCCCCAGAGCAGCCGGCCTTCCCTCAGCAGCTCCACTGAACGAGAGCCTTTCCACAAAGCATAGACCACGGCTCCCCCACCAGCCATGTCGGGACCTGCTCTTGCGCTGTCGCCGGGCATCCACGCGGCCCGTGCTGTGGGGCAAGGCGGCCGGGCCACCTGCAGGCACCAGCCCTGCCCAGGCATCCCGGAGAGGCCCGCGGTCCCACAGGCTGCGGGGTCTTCCTCCGGCTGCCTTCTCCCCAATTCCCGCATACGCAGCCGTGTGTTCCCAAAGACCATGCATGACCGGAACATAAAGATCACATCTGTACTGGTAAAAAAGAAACCAACAGGCCAACATTTGATCTTGGTGTCCCCCATAGTGCCCATCCTGCCAACTCGCCAGGGAAATGCCCGGTGCCGCTGGACTGCCGCGGCACCAGGGACCCCCCCCCCCAACTCACACCCAGCCTGCGAGTTCCAGGTTGAAGGGTCAGGCTGTGTGAAATAAGCATTAGAACCGCCCGCGCTGCCCGCTGTGGGCTGTAGCCCTCGGCATGCACACAGGGAATGGACCACCAGACAAAGTGAGGGACAGCAGGCGCAAGGTCATTGAACTTCAGGTTCCTTCTAGACTCAGCTTAGGAGAGAGAAAATCTTCCTTCTGCTCTCTCTGCGGCTGGGCCTGAGCATGAGCCTCAGAAGGCAGGACACAAGCTTACACGTCTCTCTCTTCCTCTCTCCCCTTCGTTCTCTGCCCCTCTCATTGGAAATAGAAGCCAACCTCTCTCAGGCTATGCAAGCCCTCTACCTCTTACATCCCTAGCCCAACACATGCATTTTATTTATTTATTTTTTACACATGCACAGGACTTGATTAGAAAAAGGAAGCCCTGAAAAGCTGTTGGGTCCAATACTTACGTACAGTTGAAACACAGAGGGATCCATTGCAAGGTTGTAAAAGGCAAAGGAGGCTAAGGCAAACAGCCAATCGTGGGAAAGCAAGAAATCTTGCAAATCATAGCTCCAGCCTGCTGAGTTCCGGTGTCCGGTGGCAGGGAGCTGCCTTTCTCCGTGTGCGGGTGGAGGGGGCGGGTCTCACGCCAGCTTCAAGCCCTGCTCCAGGCCGGAGGAGCTCGGTGCTCCCACACCTGGCATTGCCCTGCCGAAGCGGCCATTTTGAGGTATCTTGCTCTGAACTTCTTCATGGCCAGGAGCCTGCGATACATCACTGCTTCTACTGCCCTGATTCCGAATGTTGTCTTTCTAGGTCTTCATTTTGTCCAAAAGCACCTATCCAGCTCTTACAATATGCGTGAACATGGTGACGCATTCCAAGACATATTTACTAACATTTCCATAGTAACGATTAAATTCTAGGCATGATTTTAAGCAAGTGACTTGTAGCAACTTATTTCTTCCAGTCGACCTATAAGGGTAAGCACTATTATAATTTTACACAAGGAGACGCCTGATACGTCAAAGTTCAATAACTTCAGTCCACACAAGTGGCAGAACTCATGCCATAATGCTTTTAATCTGTCACAGACAATACGGTACAATTTTATTGAATTTTATGCAGTGTGGCCACAAGATAAGAAGTCTATACAGAAGTTCCCCGCAGCTGTGCTGATCTTCCTTACCGCCTCTCACCCTGTGGCCTAGGCAAAGGAGAGGTGGGAGACGATCAGAGTTGTTGTTGACTCCTTTGTCTTAAAACCATCAGTAGCATACACCGTGTATCTTACTCTGACCAAATAGAATTCTGGTTCTTGAAAAATTACTCATCTTCTACCTGTGATGTCAGCCCCAAAAACCACAAGAAGCTTATATAGAAAAAGAGTCAGCCTGGAGTTCTAGGGGTGACAAAAAGGGGAGGTGTTTACCAGAGGTCATGCCGTACCCCAGTCTACGGGACCCATGGATTCTGCCCGGCCCTTGGTAAAGGGGGCTGGAGGAGTTCCATTCAGAAGTAGGCCTCTTGGTGTTTAATAGAGATGGCCCCAGTAGTCAGCAAACATCAGATGAATACTATGACTTAAAAACATGATCTAAAGCTAGCATCTCCAGAGGTTGGGCACAGTCCTGTGTAGAGTTTGAAGCCTTTGGACTATATGCAAGTCACCTGTGCGGCTGATGGGCCTCCCCTTCCCACACCTCCACCCCAAGTCTGTAAGCCCAGGAGGTCCTCGGGGGCTTCCCGGCTCCCAGGGCAAGGTGGACTGATTCTCTTCATGAGATAGGATGTCTTTCGGGGCATGGCAGGCTTCCTGGGAGGAGGGTACAAGTGAATGCACAGCTTACAGCCCAGCCAGGGAGGTAAGCGAACACAAGGAAGCAGGCATGGTGCCGGGAGATGAGCAAGTCCAAGGAGAGCTGGAGAAGCGTCGGCTGCACAGCTGTTGGTGAGCGTGTAGCGAACAACTCTCCCTCTGCTCACGGGGTCATGTTTGGTACTGTTATTTGGGGAGACTATTTGGCAACCCAAACCCTCCAAAGCAGCAACTCCATTTCCAGCTACTTACTCTAGAGAACCTCCATGCACAGGCACAAGAGACAAAAAAAAAAAAAAAAACCCAAACCAAAACAAGACATTGATCACAGCATTGAAAAGGGGAAAAGAAGTGGAAACGGCCAGCTCTCTCATGGTGGGGTGGGGGTGGGGGTTAAATCACATACGGCGGCTTGTTCATCAGTAGGAGCACTGTAGGCGGTCAGGAGAAGTATGCGAGGCATTCCCTCGTGCTAGGATAAGATCTGGAAGGGGGTGAGTAAGACAGGCAGGCGAGGGAGGCGGTGCGGGCGGACGGTGTAGTACGTGGCACAGTGGAGCACACCTGTAGCTCGGGGGTCAGAATGGACCGCTGGAGGGCTGAGCTGGCCGCCCACGGCCGGGAGGCCTGGCCGGCCAGAGGGACTGGGGCGCTGAGAACTCGGCACCGAAGGTCACCGCGGAAGCCGTGTCTTGTGCTGTCCCCTGACTTGACACCCCAGGCCCAGGTGCTTAGATTTGCCGGGGTCAGGAAGGGAGTTAGGGAGGAGACAAACAGGTCTAGGTCCCAGGTGTCCTTCCTGAGAAATGCAACCTTCCGCTTGCAGAGGCTCACGGAGGCCCCGAGGAAAGAGGAAGGCACGGTGTTGAGTAATGGAAAGAGCCGAGGTTTTGGAATCAAATCTAGCTTTAAATCTTCACTCTACTAATGAATTAGTAGGTCAGGGATGCCCTTGCGTCATTTCAGCGTCTGTGTCAGTCTTCTCAGCTGTAAAAGAACAGCACGGCCTTTTTGAGGAGGTGAGGAAGTGGTTGAACTCAAGAGTCTGGTGGATGCGTGAGAATCCCGAGCACTCTCTGTCTCGGGCGGCGTGGCTCGGTGCAGGCCCCAGGCCCCTTTCCCCAGTGCTCCTCCTGGGGCTGGCGAACAAATGCCAGCTGGGCCTCGTTCCAGCTCCTGTGAGCAGCTGGGCCTCGGGGCAACCTCAGCCCACCTGCTGCCCTCAGCCAGGGCTGTGGCTCCCAGCGGTGAACTGGATGGAGTTGAGGGTGGACACCTGGGAAGGCAAACGGTACTGCCAGCACCCCCAGAGCCACGCATACATGCCCCCCCGTGCAGTGTGGATAATTACAGAGCACCCACGACTGCCCCGTGTATCCTGGAGTGGAAGCTTTGAGGACCTGGACACAGCCGTTAGCCCTGAGGGCCGTGGGGACGCCCGGGGTGCCCTGGGCAGCCCGTCCCCCGGCTGGCATCAAACTCCTGCACGCGAGAGACACTGCAGGTTTGAGGCGCTCGCACAGAAGCAGCGAACGCTCCGTGTATTTCAGTCCTGCCACGAGCAGCAGCTGAGGACGGCAGGCTGCTGCTGCTTTTCCTCTGTCCCCATGCTGAGGGTTGTCGATCGCGGGCTTGTCTGCCGCGGGCGATGGGCTCCTGGCCGGGCTTGCTGGCTGCCCGCTCCGCGCCCCTTCCTGCCTTGTCCACCTCTTTAAAAAGGAGATGAGGGGCTGGGAAGGTGGCTCAGTGGTAGAGCGCTTGCCTCGTATGCCTGAGGCCCTGCGTTCGATTCCTCACCACCACATAAGCAGAAAAAGCCAGAAGTGACGCTGTGGCTCAAGTGGTAGAGCGCTCGCCTTGAGCTGAAGAGTTGAGGGACAGCGCCCAGGCCCAGGGTTCAAGCCCCACAACCGACAAAAAAGATGATTGGTGGATGAAAACGGAGCCGGGAGCCCTGTCTTAAGAAGGTAGGGAGCACGGCAGGGGGTGAGGTTGGAACGCACGGTAAACACGTGCGGAAATGCGGTGAACCACACACTCAAAACTATCACTGGGCTATGCAACGAGTACAGTCATCTCTGACGATGTTGTCCCCCTGGTGGAATCTTCCAGCAGCTTGGGGATTCGAGCTCAAGCCCCTCACTGAGTATCTGAACCCCCTTCAGCAGGCTGCACGGGGCGGGTGGGGGGGCTGGGCTGGTTTCAGGGCTGGTTCCAGGGCTGGTTCAGCCACTTGTACTCCGTGTGACCCCAGTAAAGCCACTGAACTGAGAACTCAGCTTCCGCTGTCCGTCTGGCGCAGGTGTAAACATTCACTGAGATAATAAATGGAAAGTACCCCAGGCTGCGGCCCCACGTAGATCAGGAAAGGCCTGGTACCCCCCTCTCCCTCCCTCTCTCTGTCTCGTTCTTTTTGGGTTGTGGTGGTGTTTCTTGGCAGCATGGCAGTTGAGCTCGGGGTGTGGCGCTCGCTGGCAGGCCCTTTGCCTCTTGAGCCACACCTCCAGCCCTTTTTTTATTTTT